CAAGGCTCGAATGTTTCTGCGTTTCCCGTCCTCTTTGCTGCCAGGTTCTCACGTCAAAACAACACAAAAAAAGTTGTGCATCAAATAAGACAATGATAGGGAATTTAAATTGCGAATTATTATTACTGAAATGATTGTTTCACATAAGCGCCGAAATAGCAGCCTGCTTGCGAAAAAGTTTCTTAGAAGAGATTAAATTTCTTCGTTGAAAATTACGTTTTTTTATTGTTAATTTAAGAACACTTTCTGGTTCAGTTAACAACGATTCTATTAGTTGTTTGGGAGCGCATACACTTTATAGACGAGCAGTGTAGCTCGGGGAACTATTGTATGACGGCTTAATAGGACGCAGTATTTTTCTCACTCGTATATGAACAGCAATATCATTATTCAGCATTCTAATTTCGTTTAGCTGGGGATCGATGGCTCTTTTTATTGTCGGTCCATTCTTGAGAATCTTCAAGGGTCTCTCTCTCATTGAGGACGATCTTCGACCAGCCAGCCTTCATGTCTGGAAGCAAGTGCGCTGTGCTCTTCATTTCTTCCTTATATAGGGCCTTCTCTTCGCCTACTTTCTTCCCCTGCGTTTTCTGTCGCATTTTCGGCTGAAAGGATCCGACGCTTGCGAGTTCTTATAGCCTATTTCTTAGAATTAAATCACTGCGAGCATGGGGATTGAAGAGCCTCAGCACAGCAATAAAAGTCTTCCTGAACGAACAAAATTAAATTTAATGTTCGAGAATCGCTATAAAAAATGATTATGACGCTGCATGGGTTTGTAACTGCGATTCCGAAATTAAATCCTGTGTAAATATTAAAAATAATGGACATCTGTAGGATCAAGTTCATCTGCACAACATCTGCATTGTTTGGGCGCGCTTCATGTGCTAGTTTTGAGGGAAATACGAGCGAAATTGGGATACAAAAATGTTCAAAACGATTCAATAAATTCAATTTAATTACACTTCGTGTCCTTTGAAAGCCTGTTAGTATGATTTGATTTAAGTTTCATTGTAAAATCTTGATGAAATCATTGCCTATTTGTGAACAATTGTTCTTATAATGGCGATGATGTATACACGGAGCAATTTGTTTTCACAGAGCTTAAGAACATTAGAAATTATTAGCATTCTGTAGAAACTTTAATTACTGCATTAAATAGAAAGCAAATCGCCATCACAAATTCAAGATTAATTGCAAGCTTTTCGTTTCACGGAAAATCAAGTGTCTTTTATGTAGGCCAAAAACTTCATGGCACACTGTTTTCTAATGTGAGTGCACCTTATATGTCAAATTTATGCTTCAAATTTAATTTAGTTACTGTTGCTCAATCCAACGATATTTCATCATAATTAGTAAATCGTTTATTTGGCGTAGATGTGCTTGAAATACAAAAATAGGTACCGTTTTAGTGGGATCTGAAGCCGATTTAGAACAATTTTCTGCCAACTTAATTTTATCATAATATTTTCAAAAAACACAGCAATATTTTGGATTTTTTTTTTCTCAATTCTCTTCGCTAGAGCATAAATGGATTCAATTGTATCTCAGAAATGCTTGATTAGTCAACGGAATTTCAAACCAAATCATCCGAATCAGGTTTGTTTGATCGAAGCCTATTTTAGAACCAAGGCTTCTTCATCCCGCGTAAATAGTCATGTGTTGGCACACACGCATTGACCATCCAGCCTTGCGTCTCTGTTATCCTGTCATTTGAATAGAACTCTGGCGCCGCATGTCGCAATCCCAGAAGTTGGGAGTTATCCCTGCTTCGGCTTCCGCGAGTCCTCAGTCCCAATTGAAACTAAAGTCGGCCAACCAATACAGAGTCTGCCACCAGTAACATGTCCATGTTTCTCTGCACTGGTCCACAACTCGTACTCAGATCACGCTTTCGAGGAATACTGCGTCTAATCAGACCGCCACAACTTCCTAACTGACCAACTGACTGCAACGAGCCGCGCGCACCAGATGCAGCTGCTCGATCGTGGGTCCGGCAGAGCAGAAATGTTGTGGACTTTAGTGGGCTCTGAGCCTGGATAAATTGCCGAAAGAATCAAATGCGAATTAAATGTTGTTTATAAGGCTTTCCGCGTGGGTTAAAATCATATTTATTCCAGAAAACAGAGATAAAATTGGCTAATTTACATCAAAAATTGCGTATTTAGACGGAAGTTTTTTCAATAACATTTAGTTTCAATTTAGAAGCAAATTGAGACATCATTCTTTAACACCGTGTCTAGAGTCTATTGAATAATAAATTATTGGCAATTATAATTAAATATAATATGATTATACATTTTTCTTTACAATAATACCTTATGTGATCAGATGCCACTAATAACTTTTCACGCCACTAATCAGATCAGATGCCACTAATAACACGTAAATGATTTCTGCAAAGAATTTTTGAAAAATTAAACCTGAATAAAAATTACGGTTTGAACAAGCGCATGCTCCATTAAATTATTGACCTATCTTGTTCAAGGAACACAATGCCTTGTTCGTAGCCGCGATCTGATCGATCGATGGCGATTAGAACTTTCCGAGGCACTCCGCGCAACTTCCCGAACATCTGACACTTTGTACCGTCAAAAACTTCTCCCGAGCCTGTCACCTAGAATGCTTTTTCTTTTCACTCGTGCCATGAAAAAGAGTGATTGTATAAAGTTATTTAATTCTTATTCAAGGGACGAGCGCGAAACGGAAGCGGATGATTTTTTGTGGCTCAGATGAAAAATGCAGAATTTTTTCTGAAAAGTACGTTTCTATGATCGTCCTTTCATGTTTCATAGGGATTGAATAGACGCACAGTAAAATGGCAATCTGATGGGATTCAGTTACACTATCAGGCAACTTCATGATGTTGATTTTATTAACCCGAACATTACTTGTTTCCTGCGGAAGAGTCGACAAGCATCGACTCAATAATAGATAGACACTACGAAATTATTTTCGAAAATCAACAGTTTTGAACGATGAAAGAAAGTCATTAGCATATAATTATTCCATACAAGTTTTTCATTTGTTATCTACTCCTTAGATTTTCATTTATCCTACGCGGGATAAATTAAAAACGACACAAAATATTTTACTTGGGTATAAAGATTAAAACAAAATCTCCCATGTTGCTCGGCTGCTCCGAACGATCAAGCTTTGATTAGCGTTGATGTGATGAAAATGTATTTTTTGCCACTCCTTCATTAGAGTCCAGAAATGCGTTCGAATTTAATCAAGATCTCGTAATTACAGTGGCAAAAGCCATCAAATCTGGGAATATTCTAGTTCTGATCAATCCAAGCTCCGGTAATTTGATTTCAAATTTAATTTAAGAGCATAAAAAACTGGTAAATCGTGGAGAGCTTGATGATTCCTCTTTTGCATTTTAGTGAGAATTTTTGCTCCTACTTCACGTCGTTATTCAGATAGTGTTGCGCAATGACTAAAATGGTTTCATTCACAAATAATGCGCAGCAAATTGCATATTGCACGTGATGCCGTTCACGTGTATATTGCAAGAAATAAAGTTATTAAAGTCTCATTAAATCATTGCCTAGAGAACTATACTCGGCACTTCACTTAAGATAATAAATATAATAGCGAATCACACTTCACACACGAAGAAGTACGAGGGGGATTTTTTTCGTGATAAGAAAGTCTAAATACTTTATGTTATTCCCACAATTAGAGAAAACAAAAGCGTGTAATTTGTGATATCATGTAATTCTAATTTAAAACGTTACTAACAGTCGTGTCGAATCAATGCACTATTACATACAATAGGAATTACATCTCATAACATATGAGTCGTTAGATATGACAATCAAAACAAAACATCAATTGCATTTCTAAGAATTAAAAAAACGCTTCGTGATAATAATCTCGATAATGTGACAGTGCGGCTATTGTTTCTATCGATGAACGCAGCAAGTCATTTCTTGCATTCCAACATTTACTCTATAACTAAATAATTAAAATCATATTCCATTTGACAAATATATAGAGTAAGGAGAAGAAACAAATTTCAATATATGTATGAATTTTCGATTCGAACATATTGCACCATAGAGTTAATAATTTTTCATGCAATCCAAGCTCTAACAGTCTAACGTAATATTGAGTGTCTGATTTTCAGATAAAAAATGAGCTTTTTCTTTAATTTGCATGGGACTGAAATGAATCAGAAAGATTCATTCCTTGAACGCCTGCATGTTTATTGTTTGGCAGCCTTCGATATTGTTTTAAGGAATTCTTTGTCGTATAGTTCTCGAAAAGAATAAAAAACTGTTTGCTTCCAATCAGTGCCCTTCTCTTTCCAGGGCCAAATTTGCATATAGATAGAAAACCACAGACTTCGCATGCACAAGCTGGCGTTCTGAAAACTTAACTTATTGTATCTCAGGATAAATTCGGAGAAGCTCTGAAACACTGTAGCTGTTTGGGTCCAAGCATAATTTTGGAAGCGTGAATGCTGCTTATGTGCGGATACCTCAGAAACAATGGGATGTGTATGCTCTTCCAGCACAAAAAAAAAGAAAAAAAAACGCTTAGCCTGATTGAATACAAATGTCAATTGTGAAGAATTTTTGTTACACTTTTCACTACCTAATAATTTTTGTAATTAAATGAATTGTGTTTCATTGATTGCCTAATACAACTTAATATATTGTCTAATTATCGAATGACAATGCTTGAGGCACAACTTAATGTCTCTAATATAAATCTTTTTTAATATCGAGATTTAATATAAATGAGTGATATTCATAAGTGATTTTATAGTCTGCTCTAAAAATATTTTATTATTAAACAAAAGTTCATTCGATAGTTTATTGCAAAGTCTACATTAATAATACAATTTTGTAATGTATGATAGGATACAAAGGAATTAAAGTGCATATTATAGCATCTAATGAATAATAATTTTAATATTATTATTAATAACCATTAGTGCTCATTAATTGAATAAGTTTAATAATCTGCCCATATTTTTGCTATCTCAGGAAATGGGTCCCGGGGACCGACAATTACAGCTCACCGGGAGCCGCTGTGCCCTCGCCTCGACCCCTCGACTGCTCGTTACCCTCGCAACACTCCTGCTCGTCTCCCTGCCCTCATCACAAGGTGAGTTCTAAAACAAGTATTTAACTTGGAACTTGTTTATTTACTTTACTATTCTGTTATGATAAGAAATAATGCTTCCGCATCGGTAATTTTCTTTAAGTATTTCTTTTTCTCTTATAAACAAATCACGCAGAATTTTATTCCTCGCTGGCTACTAACGGCTAAAGTAAGTGCCACGGACATAATCCTTATGTGATGAGGGGTACAGGAAATAAATGACATCGATGGACCAGATTGATAAGTAATAAAAATCGTAAATTATGGTTGAAAAGTTATTCATATTTTGCTGCAGCGTCTCCCGTGCCAACACAAGAAAATCTCGTTTTCGCCGTTTGCGAAGGTTTTTGCATATCCCTAACGAATGATAATTGTTTCCACTTTTGTGACTGAAAAATTATGAACCTTTTAATGCATAATACTTTCACACATTTCCAGGGAAGTAATTTTTAAGCGATCTTACTCACATCAGCAGCAAGTTATGATTCCCATAATTCTGTTGGTGTCAAGTGTTAGGCACAGTTCCCACAAATTAAGAGTTTTGTCATTAAAAAAATATATCTTCACAAGCTCAATGAGCAAATTATTAATATCCAAAAGAATTAAATGAGTTACATTGTTGTCTACACATTTGTGCTGGCGAAAAACTTTCAAGTGTAAGAAGAATCTAGTTTCTAATTTCCTTATGAGCATCCTACATTAGAATCGATGCCGAAACAACTTTGTATCTAACACCTTTCATTCCCTAGATATATATTTTTAACAGACAAATCAATATGACAATTTTTTTAGCCGACAAAATGAGAGAAATAAAGTTTTTGATCATTTCTTATATAAAATGCTGTCGCTCGGTGCATCCTGCAGTCGCCCTCAGGCTGATCTTGTCGCTGAGTTTGCCCAAACTTGTTCGCTTTGATTCGACAACTTTGTACTGAAGTGACGTCTCAGTGATATTATTTGCTGACTTGCCTCTTTATAAAATGAACCTCATATTGAAATTACTTACTTGCTTCTAGATTACTCGGTTGCACATCATGTCGGTATTGCAGTCTAATTTGTCACAGAATGAAATAGATTTTAAAAATTCAGGTCAATAATTTCAAGACTGAATCTAATATAATCTATGAAATATACTTCAGTGGTTTATGTTGCTCATGCCTCTTCAGAAATTCTCTCGAGGGTCCTCAAAATCAACATTTCATGTTTGTGTAGAGTGCTTTCTGTATTTTGGATCTTATTTATCTTCGTATACTTCATTTCACAAACTGCAATATATGACATGCATAGGGTACATTCACAATCAGAAAGATTTCACGGCAAATACCTTACATGACAACGCTCACCATCTCTTGTTATCTATATAAGGTTAGCGCTCGTGCAATGCATTAGTGATTTCCGTGCTGTCAGGTGCCGGTTGCTTATTGTAGGAAGCGAAGGTTCATTTTACGTTGGGTTCTTTGTTATGAGAGTCGCATATGACGAGCGAGGGCCACCCAGGCACAAGTGTTTACCAGCAACGCTTGCTTTCGTTCGGTGCGATCGTCGCGTTCACGTCGAGCTTTGTTTGTGGGCGTCAAGCGAAAGCTTGCCGACTTTAGATCGTTGCTCTGAAACATTCACAAATGTTGTAAAACAAAATGACTTTGAGCATTAATCATACATTTTGTGATGCTATTAAAATAAAGTGAAAAATTCAACAAATGACGACTGAGAGGGATATTTTAGATTTAATGTTACGAATAAACTCTCTTGGCCTATACTATATGCGGAGTATATGGACCTAAATATGGACCTCTACAATTATGATCAGAATTATTTATGTAAATAGGGTAAACATAGTTTGAAAATAAATTGATTGATCTATTTTGGACAGTGTTTAACTTTACTGAAGAGCCCGTCCTTGTAACTATGTTCCAACTTGGTTTAACTGATTTTCTTAATTTCTTTATTCATCTTTTGATAAACATTTTTATTTTTCACTCTGTGATTCTTACTTTGTATCTGTTTGCACAGGTGCTTTAATATTTGGTCATGTGAGAATAAGCCTAACTGAAAGAATTTCGCCTGATTTATGAAATCTTAAGTTTCATTGCATAAAAAAAGTAGGATATATAGTTTTCTTTAAACTTCACAGCCACAAAATTTATATTACTGCCTCGTTGACATATTATTCTCTAGCAAGTAAACAGGTCCATATTTTGGATGCCAACATGCGGGCGCAGCTAGGATTAGGGTGTTGGTAGAGGGCAGGACTGTATGAGACTCATTAATTGGTCTCTAGCAAATATTTGTAATGAAGATAAACTTTCAGCAAAGGCTAAATTCATTTACGCATTTAGGCTCAGCTTAGATTTTTTCAATGAAGCAGTAGAAAATGTAGAAGTGATGTTGCGTAAAGTGCAGTTGCTTATTGAACTTTTGTACAAAAGTTTTAATAATTGTCATATATGTGCAGCTCACAATATAAAGATGTATATTTGCATCCACACTAATTATGGAAGAACTTTCAAGTTTTCTATAGTCCGCAGACTTTCCAGTACATTATTTCTGCTTACTACGTTACCTCTGCTCAAGGTTGTATCTTGTCCATGCTTTATTTCAAAAGATTTAAACTTAGTTCGTAGCTTTTCGTTGGCTGCGTTGGCATGGCAAGGTTGTCGAGCAAGAGATACTTTAAGAGCGGTTCGGCTGTAAGTCAGCCGCCAGAAGTCCGGCAAGAACTGCCTCCAATTTTACGACTTCGGCATTTTCTGTTCCAGAGTTTTTTCTACCAAGCAATTGTGTCCGATCGTTGGCGCTCTGCCTTTTGGCTGGGCGTGTGAAAGTTACTTGTCTCTACAACCTATATATGAAGGTAGCGTATATACGTTCACAATATTTGATGGTCATTGTACATAAAATTGTAAGTTCGATTGGTCGTTCACAGCTTCACTCTGATCCGTTTTAAACCAACATTGTGTGTTTCATGTCAATTCATTCCGCGAAAAATTCTTCATTTTAATTCATACTACCATATTGCTTGCAAAGCTGATACAAAATGTGACTGTCGAGCTCTGAAGCGTATAACTTATTATTGTAGGCACACAATGCGTGTGTGTGACAGGTTCTTATTCTCGGGTTCAATTGATCCACGTTTATGGAAATTTTCGATAATTTAATTAAACTTCGTCTGAGCTTGCGGGACAAGGGTAACCTTGTCTCGCGTTCGTCTTGCAGAAATTAGGTATATTGCATGGCTTTCAAATTTTGCGAAAGGCATTACAGGACTCAGCAGAATGACATTTTTTGGTAATGGAAAAAAGTATACAGAAATAAGACGCCAGCATGCGCTTGGATGGCTCTCACGTCCATCTCATGTAATTAGTCGGAGCTTCGCCGCTGTTATTGCCTAACTCGGTAAACGCAGTGGCGGTGTTGAGGGACCTCAAATTACCCGCATTATCCCTACATTTGGTGGGCAATTTATCCTGCCTATCTCTCTGTCCCGGCCAAGTACGTTTTCTACCAAATGACCCGCATTCTTCTTTGTGTTGGTGATCACCATTGAAGTACGTAGCTACCAAAGTTCGTTGCTTAATATTAAGTAATTTTCATTTGCCAAGAGAATAAATATATCAGCGTATTGACCTTATGGATAAGTTCGGTTTTTCGGTTGCTTAAAATAATTAATTGCTGGAACATACTAAATATGTACCCTATGTATTTCACAAAAAAGTCTATCCAGCATTGCTCTTTAGGTTGTGTGATGTTAGCTCCCGCCTAGAATGTTAAGCCACGACAGATTCTATGGAAATGATATCCCGTAATTTTTCGAAATTAATTAATTCTCTTCGATTTCAATTAAATTGTGGGCAACATAGTAAAATCGATAATTCCACTTTCTCTCAATATCGAGGTTTTCTGGTAAAACATTCGATTAGACGTCTACGGGGGTATTATCAGGCTATTTGTGGTGTTATATTAGATCTGATGGCGCGACTTACTAATTCCTGTATATTACCGAATATATATGTATAAACGTACACAAGCACACAAGCACATTTTTGAACATAATATATAAATAATTACATCACATGTGCAGAACCTGCTTGTAAACCTAAATAATATTTTTGAATTCCTCGGTAACTAGAGCCATTTGTCTTAGTGAATATGTGAAGTTCTGCAAGTGTAGCATGAATGCTAGCTGGTAACTGTTGGCGATTGCCAGTCAGAAATTTATGCTCAACAAAATTTATGGCTCTGTTAGCATGCTTTATCGCCTCATCGCGAATAGTTTATAAGTTGCCAGATATGGCCTCGATCATGCGAGGAAGTCTGTCTCTCTCTGTGTCGTCGCTAAACTTGCTCAATGCATAATTTTGTCATGCAGTTCTGGTGAATTTCCTGATGAATGCCATGCAACTGCCCGTAACTCTTCGACCATGGCACAAAGTTTGGGGGTAGATGCTATGGTCGGAATTTTTGGTTGCAGTCCAGCCATGACGGGTGGCCTATAAGAGATTATTTCTTCTCACACTTTTTTATATTAGTTCTCCATGCAACAAAAATGACGCTAAAAAGGGAATATTTATTTGGAATATACTGTAATTAACCCGTAGCATCAAAGATGTGTAGGCTAGGCAGAGTGATTTGCATGTTCGATGCACAAAATCGCTTTCATGATCCATAATGCAGTTGTAAGTGACGTTCAATGATGACTGAAGGCCACGAATGGCTACGAACAGGTAGAAGCTTTTATCATCTACGACTTAAGCTACTTTGATGTATGAATTCGTAAACCTTTTAACGGGTAAAAATTTTTTTTAACAAACGCAAGGCTGCTTCGGAGCACTTACACACACGTTAGAAATGTATTAATTAATGATCGGACGAGAACTTATAGCGCTAAAAACCACACCTTAGGTAGCCATGGAACTTGCATGGTAAATTTCTTCTTATATTGCCTGATTATTCACAATATTTAGTTAGGAAACTTTAGCTTAATTATGAGCAGGAGTCGTAGGTGAACTACTACATACAAGCCAGTAAGCGAGCGTGTACAGTGCCAGTATATGCTTCTAATTATGTGCTCACGATAGATGGCTGGTGAACGTTGATTTGTGATCCATTTTCGTCTGCCGCCGAGTGGTAATCACGTTGAAAGCTCATTTTTCATGGAGCGATATTCATTTAGGAGGTATCGACTGGACCAAATGCATAATGAGATCGAGTTCTCTGTAGTAAGCGGTCCCCACATTTACCTACGAAAATATTATGATGGGGCATTCGACAAGCATACAAATGTCCAGCTATATAAAAATGCTATAAAAAATGCTAATAAAAGCTATAATACCAGCTATATAAAATGGTATAAATTCTGATCATTGATTTTGCATTCGCCTATGATGGTGATTACCTTGCGATGTACCCGTTCTTGTAGGGAATAACATATTTCCTGGCTAATTCGTTCGTAAATTTCACATTTCACAACGTAGGTATGGATTGAACAAATTTGAACTGAGAATAAAATGGTTAGCGTAAAATTGAATTTAATTATAAACATACTGATAGTGATTAATCGTAAGTAATGAAATAAGAGTCTTTGAAATAAATGACGACATTTCTATAAATATAGCGTTCACTATTTTTGAGCGCGCGCTCGCTTTGCTGCAGCATGGACACTCAGCTATCCGCGAGTGCTGAGTAATCCCTTAATCTTCATTGCCGAGCACGCCTGCTGCTGTTGCCAGACTCTAAGATTTATGCGGCGTTCCATCCATGTCTGGATGCTCGAGTCAAAAGTTGCTAACTCGCCTGTGAAGACGCGCCTGTTAGCCGCGATACAAAACCGCAACATCGCAGACTTTCTGCAGCAAAGTTGGCGAGCGTGATTGTGAAGCTGCCAAAAGAACCAAGCCTTCCTTCTTTTATCTTCACGCTTCTTTGGTTCGTCACTTCCGTCTACCAGAGTTAGATTCAAAAGTTTTCTTCCAACTCTGTGTTTAAGTCTTTGGTTCTTAACGCTTGTCATGGCCGCTACTTCACTGAATATCATCGCTTGGTATGCTTGTAATGTAAGGGGAGAGTCTCTTGCTCAAAGCAAACCATTTTTTTGGAGGCACGAGCTGTGAATTTTACTTCAAAATGGATGGATGATGTTGAGCATGAACTTACGTTATTCAGTGACTCGGTTCCTCTCGTGGCTACGGCTCGTTAATTGACTATAATCATGAGGAAAATTATTTCAACCAATTGGAGCACGAAATTAATTTGTTTTCCCACAAATTTTTCAACTTCTGGCTCTTTCCAATAATTAGGTGAAACATAATTGGACAAATTTTTCACGTTTTCGCGTTTTTATTCGAAAATTCCATTCAAAGCTCCTCTTGTTAAAATTGTTTTATTCAACGTTGAAATCTATTTAACCTAGTTTTCGCAGCTTCTAAAGCGTCATCGTGCAGTTTTCTAAAGGAATTTCCAATAAAATTGAATATTTACTAACATTGGAAAATTTTCAGGACAAATTTTTCCTCAAATTTCGGCACACTCGCCTAACATCCGGGTGAGAAAGGCGTTCGTTGGTCCTTATAGTGTTGTGAAAATGCGTGGTATACGCAAGGCGTCCAAGGAGCTCAGCTCTCCTCTAATATCCGGCACGATAGCCTCTAATTTCCCCCTCTCTATGCCACGAGGACCACTTCCTCTTTAGACGATCAAAACTCGCAAGTTGGCGACTGGAACGAGCTTCCTCTATTGCGAGGCCTTATCAAGATGGCTTTGTTTTTTGTTATCACCTTCTCGAAATGCCTTCTTTTTGGCACATTCCTAGGCAAACGTTCATTAAGTCGCATGCGTAAGTGCAGCGTATCAGGCATTATCTTGATTGCTTCATTCCGTATGACTCGGACTTTCATGCACGATTTTTTCCTAGCGCCCTGCGTTGCGCAAGGGTTTGCTAATGAATGAGAATGAAGCTCAATTCTCAGTGGAGTCGATTATGACGGAGAAAAATGGCTCTACAGAAAAATGGCTCATTAGAAAAATGGTTTGAATGTATGTCTGTTAAAAAACTACATGCATTACAAAAATATATTTCACAGCATCTTTTTTTTGCGTCGTTTCAAATATAGAATGTTCGAATGATTGTGTACAAATAAAATATAAAATATACACTAAGGTAATTCATCATTTTGTTTTAGTAAAATTTATATGTAGACAGCAAATTAAAATCTTATTCTTACTTACAATGCAGGGTAGAAAATACAATCAATAATCCCAGCAATAATGACAATGAAGCTCATTTATGTCCGCCAGGAATCTGTGAATTGCCGAGTCACTGGAAAGGAGGATGGTTCCAGAACGGCGCCCGAGACGTCATCTCCATCACGCGCACCGAGTTCTCTTCTAAAGGAGTTTGCTGGCAGTCCAAGGACGGCCAAAAGTTCTTGTTCAAGTGAGTCAATAATACTGCTACATTTATTGTCCATATTTTTATGTTCGTAACATTAAGGGAAAAGGCAAAAATAGCGAGGAATATTTTAGCCATATTAGACCGACGTATGATTACACTTACGAGCTTAGTTTGTCAAGTGTTTAAAAATGATGAAAATCATAGCTACATTTCAGAATTTAATTTTCTTAATTAATTAATTAATTATTAATTAACTAATTCTGAAAATTAATTTTAGAATTTAATTTTCTTAAATAATTAATCAATTATTAATTAATGAATTCCGAAAATTAATTTCAGAATTTAATTTTCTTTCTAAAATTCTTGTTAGCAATTCAAAAGACGCACAGAGTATCATCTCATTACATTAAAATTGTACTTAGATTCTTAGAAGTTCGTGCATATAATTGAAGCTTTCGTTTTCAAACAATAATATATATTCATTAACTGAAGAGCAGTACTACTGAATAAAGTTTTCTTTTATTCAAAGTCTGAGCGCATAAACTTCTGGCAATATTTCATGAAGCACAAAAATGTTGCGTGAGGCTCAAGTTTCGCTGTTCAAAACCAACATGACGTGACCACGCCCTCACAGCTGCCGGTAACTCCATCTGAATATTCACCACCGCTTTATTCATTGCTTCATACATCGCAATTATTTCTTATATTAGGGGTATTACAAGACATTGTCACGATATTGAAGAAATTATTGATCAATTTGTGTCACAAGTAATATTTAGTTGAAAGATAATCACAAGCAACAATTTATATGTGTCGTGCCGAAATCATGGAATTGCCGATTCTATGGAATAGGCAGCTAGTTTGCCGAATCTGTAGAATCAGCGTTTTGTTGCTGATGCTGAAAATAGGACGTTAGAGTTAGAACATAAATCGACAGTTAGAGTTAGAAAAGGTTAGGTCAAGTTCGGTCAAGTTCCTTTACATTTAAATATTTAAAAAAGCAAATGCATCTTCCTGAACAAAACGTTGCTGTTTATTAATATCTAGTCAAAGGTCGTGACTCGAAAATTAAAGGAAAATTAATATTTGTTTTAAAATTCTTTCTGTAAAATATGAGTAATTATGCAGAAAAAAGCTAAGTCGTTCATGTGAACAATCCTGGGCGCCGAGGATTAAGGCTGTAAGGATCCTGTAAGGGATATGCACAAAATTACCTCTTACTTAATGGAACATTTTTGTAGGCTTGCTCGATGCTTGTGTCCTATGGTCCTGTCTGCATAACCTCAGGACCCTTTCAGTTTAAAAACAATATATGTCGGGACTATAATTGCTAGCAATACAGTATATGATATAGCTTCTCTTCTTTTTGACACTTCCAATCCTTAGGGCAAGTTTCATTCAAAAATCCAAGAAAAATTCTTACTCGATACTTCTATTTATGGTATATTAATGCGCAAGTTAAACAATGATACTTTCTAAACTTCTTATCTGGTCTGCTTCCATTGCACTTTAATCACTTAACTTCCATTAAGCGCAGAATATTGTAGTTTTTCTTAATATTTTTATTAAGGAGTGGACGCAAGACTTCTTCCAATGACCAATTAATTAGCAGTGACTGACTCAACTAACTTCATAAAGTAAAAGTTTTTTTTAAGCGTCATGATTAAGCGGCAACCGAGTTCTACTGGAGTTGATATTTTAGCGAGTTGCCTTTGACATTTGAAAAAAAAGAGGTTGCCGCGCCTCTCTCGGTTATTTCCTTGGAGAGATAAACTCATTTTTATTTATTTATAGCATGCCGAACTTGTATGAGTCTGCGTTGGCTTAATTTGAGTAAATGTAACAAGAACCATATAATCAATCAGGATCAATATCTCCCTGGAGGGAACTTCTGTGAATAATTCCTTATTTATTTTGATGATTTTGTATTTTTTAGATGAGAAGTATTTCCAAGATTTTTTTATTAATAGCAACACATCAACATAATTACAGCCTGGGACCAAAGAAATGTGGGGTCATTTTAGAATAAAAATTTTTAAATGAAAGAAATTAACGGTGGATGTGTGAAGGACCTGCTGCTTTACGATCATTCGAGATGTCGTGCCTCGAGTTGGGCAGTTTTCCTTTTCTTTTCAACTGGAATTGGAAATCACGAGCAAGCGATGTAAAGATTACTCAGTTCCTGATCGAAAGACTCGTACCTTCGGGTAAATGCCAGTGGGTAGTTTTCAAGTGGACTCGATTGTCTATAGTCACTCGACACTTTGAATTTACAATGCAATCATGCCATTTTCGTCGCGTGGCTGGCCTATTGATAAAGTAATCGTTGATGCGCCTTTACTTTGGCTTGTTTCGCTCAATCTCAGCCGCACGGCAAGCCTAGTCCACTCTTCGATCTTGTGCATCGGCAAGCCGTTCACTCGTGCTTCTGCAGCTCGCGAATGTCGCCCTAATTCGAACAGCTGCCTGTTCGGCAATCTCGCCGCGTCCTCAATGAATTTGTTTACATTGGAATCCTAGTTCCATTACGTCGCTCAATCTCAGATCTTATCTATAGGCAAGACAAGCAAGGCTGGCGCATTCGCCTCTGATCACCCATTCCCATTCCGGCCACAATTCTGTCAAGTCTCGCTAACCTTGTATCAACGCAAGTCTTCTTGGTGGGCCTCTTCGTTCAATTCGTGTCGACTCACAAATTTAAGTGCAAATCTATGCATATCCAAATGAAACGCCCGTATCTATTATTTAACTGCCGGGAAAATTCCAGTGTTGCTCTTAAAGAGTTCCTAAGGGACATGCAAAAGACGTGAGGATCGCTAAGCGAATGCATTTTCGCCACCACGTTAGAGGGAGCCGTGAGATCGTGGCTGGTGGCTCTGGCCGGATCCTAACATCGACTGACAGTTATCAGTCCAATAACAAGTGTCCTGACGTATAGCACAGACGGACTAACTATAAAACTAAAATTGTTTATTGCCACATATATGTGTGTAGATTGGGGAAATTAATGAACGTTTTCGTTCATTTGTGCAACTGAAACATTCGTGAAAAATTGATTATATATGTTTTTTTTCTGGAGGAAAGAGGTGGTTGAATTTTTCAAATGGAGGAATTGAAAATTGACAAAATTCGTAGTTATTTATGAACGCAGCCTACCATAAAAATGTCCTCAATTTATTAGAATACACAACAAAAAATTTCGAGCCGTAGGGAGTTCCACTCGAAAACGATGGCGAAATCGTATTTTAATCATCGTTCTGGAGCATTTCTCATGGCTTCTTATTGAAGGAGACTAATTATCACACTTGCCTGCGAGAAAGTTTGCACTTTTCTTTCAAACTTGAGCTCATTCAATGTGAATGACGATCGTTCTGCTAGCGCGTTTGCACTTTTCTTCCTAATTCCGACCCATTTGGAAGGAATAGCGTGGCTCTTGCGAGCTACCGAGCCACTGGACCGAACTCATTAAGACGGCCGTATAAGATCTCAACAACGATCAACTTACAGCCTCAGAAATGAAGTCAGTGCATTACTGCTCTCGCAATTACTTGGTTGTAAAAGTGAAATTCTGGGATTCCAAGGGTGGCGTCTAGAGCTAAATTAATTGCTCGAGTCTCTCGTGAAGCTTGTTGTAGATTGCCTCGCGATGTATTGCCACTCAAGCTCCCGGGTTTCTTTATCTTGAGGAGTGGCCTTTGTATTGCTGTACTTGCCGGATGGCTTGGCTTCTGTACTGCTTTCTCCTGGGGAAAGGCCTTTATGTTTCACATGTGTAGTCTGACTCGGAGTTTAAACTGGGGAATGTTCTACATGATACGTTACGTTGGTTTTCAGCTGCTTCATCAGGTTCATATTAATTTTATTACCACTTTTTAAAATGATACTTCAAAAAGAATTGATTATTTTCCTACAGTGACTAATACGTCTGACAATTGTATCCCCAATCTATTGAAATACCTGGTAATAATATAACGTATTTGTTTGATACTCTGTAGTAATTCTGCATTTATTCCAATACCCTTAAATAGCAACTCCTCGAATTTCAATCTCAGAAAATGTTGCATGTCTCAGCCTTCTCAGTTTAGGTCCAGATCTTTTTGTCGGGAGCTTCATCTGACACATAGTTGTCGTATGAGTTAGAAGCGGAACCATTTTAACAAAATACAACTTCATTAAAATGTAGGACGAGCTGTTTTTTTAACTTCCAAGGGAGACTTTGAGCTGATAGATCGTTACGGTGTGAGCATATTTCAATTTCACTTATGCCTTCTGCACGAGACGTGGGAGTAGCAGCTCCCTCAATAATTATGTGTTCCACACGCAATTCCCAAGTTTCATCATGTTATTCCTTACAATATCAGATGCATTCAGAGTCGACTTGTACTTAGACTGTTGAAAAGATAGCGAATGTTATCGTGCATTATATCAGCAGCGGCTCACAGTATTTGAATTAATCAAGGGAGGGTACTAGAATGCAATTTTTTGAACGAATACGAAAGAACATAATCGCCGCACATAAATTTGATGAATTTTAGCCCAGTCATTAGAATAAATTAGTCATCTTTTATTCATCATAATAATAAGTTTATTCTCTTATAGTAAGACAAATCCGCTCTGCCAGGTAGTGTGTGCAGTAGATCTTGGTGAAAGAATTTCTGGCGTTCAAATTTTCCTAGAGCTTCTGCGGCCTTCACAAATGCCAGCTTCAGCTATGGCAATATGAAGGTGGCATTCGTGCGTGTGCGTTCAGCAAGCGTGAATCTAATTTGTCTTTATCAAGCTGCCTCGACTGCGGATGCTGTTCTCTTGGCAGCCTTTCCGCCTCTCAGCTTCAGCGGTCGAGCGGTCGACATCGACACCGCTGAGGGCTGGCATTTTGTTGCGCGAGGTCGTCCGGATTTGCTGCAAGAAATAGAAAGATTTCCACGCGACGCGATATTCCGAATTTAATTTTAGGGTGGATGCGATTGGATCCGCAGGTCGTTTATTGGAGATGTCGGCCGTGGTGCCGCATTGCCGAGGCTTGCTTCAATATTGACCCTCATACAGGACCCGTTCGCTCATTTAAACGAGTTTCCAGGTGATCTCCATACCGTAACTTGATGATGAGCGTGTGCAGGCGAAGGCATTACGGTTCTTAAGAAGTTCCGCTACGTAGGGTTGGTATTGATCAGCGCGTACTTAAACAAGAAATATACATGGAATGGCAGTGATACTCTAGAGTTCTCTCGCTTTTCTGAGTTTCTTATATTAATTAATACTGGATAAAATCATCGCTATCAGAAGTATTGTTGAAATGAATCATAAAATGGTTTGGGTTTGAAAATTTAACAGATTATTGTTATTGTTGCACACAACGAAGTTCCCTGCAAACTTACACTGCGGTAACCACCATTCAAATCGCTGCAAGTGTCCTTAAGCAACTCGTTTGTCTGTTGCTCTGCTAAGTCAGCGCCTCATTAAATCACTTCTCTAATTTCAATTATTAATTTTCTGTTCGATCAAACGGCATGAGTGAATTTTTTAATCAGAGGAAATGCCACAGGCGAGGCCATTTTTTCTGCACATTAATTTGTAATTAATGAGAAAATCTTCACTTATTCAATGAGGGCTTCGCGATAAGTTGACTGGAGGTTTATGTGCGTGAGTAGAACCAACGTAAGCGAATGTTGATGAAGTGTAAGCGTGTAAATGCTCTTTGTGCCTTCCGCTTACTTATCCCGGAACGAATTTGTCACCGTTTATATCTGGCATTTGCTATGTTTGTAATTAAAACATCATTATCTCATAATAATAATATTGAATAATTATTAATTTTTCTAGCTTCTTTTCTTGAACATTTGCTTTAAATTAAATACTTGTTTTCGCGATTGTCTAAACACTTTGAATTTTGATGATTCTGACGATAATAATTTGCTAAAAAACAAAATGGTGTCCACGATTATTTTTTCAATTTGTGTCTACAAAAAAATATATTCTTCGAGGGCCAATCAAAATGATAATTAATGGTGGTGGTAATTAAAAAGATGTATATTTGATCATCAACAACATATAAAGTTGAAGTGATAATATGTCTGACATAGATTTGTAAATTGTAGCTTCATTTTTGGATATTCAAAATTCAAAATTTTAGTATCCTTGAATAATTTCGGACGGAAAACTTGTTTGAATAATATCTATAGCGGATAAAAATTTCAAGCGGAAAATTTCCGCTTGATATTTTTAATCGATCGGCTATTAATTAACGTTTCTTTACTAACTTTTTTGTATATTAAGCTTAATCTCTACGATACCAATAATTTATTCCTACCAGTAGAGAACGCTCTTTTTCTGAATTTTAATCATGACGTTGGGGGTGGTAAAGCGTATGAAGGCTTGTGGCCGATTCTAGCCAGGATGGAGGTATAAGAAGACGCTTCTCTTTCAGGCATTACGTTTTCGATTCCTTGTATTAAAACCCCGTATGAATACAATACTGTTACATGCCATACATATACACGAAATAAACAATTCAAATAGTCAAATTAATCGAAATCAGTTTATAAATAAGGAAAGTATATGACAGCATAATCCTGGCAGTACTTACTCTAATTAGAGGTTGTTGAGCAATGTACATAATCACAGAAGGTCGGAACGAAGTAAACTAAATGCTGCGTTCACGGTTCTGACGTTCACGTTGCTAGCGATAAATCTATTTTTTACATTTGGTTCTAATCTGGATTATTATTACACAATTAATAATTACATCTGGACGCTACAGTGGTTTCCGCAACGTTTGCATTGAAATTTTAGGTCGGCATTTCTTTTTTGAAATTTTGATATAAAACTGTGAAAGATGTGATACAAGTCGAGAGATATTGAAGTAAATATTGAAAAACATTTGAATGATATGAAATAAGCAGATGTCAGCAGAACTGCAAAATATGTCCGATGACATTTCTTATCAAACAATCCGACTCAGTGGAAAAACTGTGAGTAGAAATTTTAGCGCCCAGTATACGAGTTTCCAATCATGATAAATTTGGCTTCGTGCTCTCCTGGTTCTTCGACTCAACATTGCTCTGGGATTTTTCCTCCAATTTTAGCGAAATTTCCCCCCCTGATATGTGGTCGTGGACGAGCTGTTGTATATGTTGTCGTCTGGAAAAAGTTTTCTTGGTGTGGCGTTAAAGCCCTGGGCCGACATGGAAGCCCTTCGAGCGCTCTCCGAAGGCTTACTGAGTCGTTACTGGGGAAGCCTGAAATCTTGCTGTGGTCTGTATGTTCCTGTACGAAGGCTTGCCTGCCTGCGTCTGGTGACAGCATCGAACTGCTCGTCGAGTTCGTAAAGACTGGAATACACCCACGACAACATCGAGTCAGGGAAAAATATAATTTCGACCTGACTTTTCTTCCGATATTTTTTGGGATTATATGATGATTTAAATTTATTATTATAGAGATATGGCTTACATATATTTTTTAAGAAAGTCGTTGGCATTAATTTTACCGTAAAATAATGTGTGAGTGAACGTTTAAATAATAGAACGTTCTGGCCGAGTAAATTTTTTTTAGATTAGCATGAGGCCACCTCAATGCCTCAAAGCAATCTAATCTTCTAAAACTTCTAATTCAATTTTAGAATTAGACCTAATCTCAAGCTTGATCTTTTATCATGAATGATATGAAATTTGTTTCTATTTACGCAGGAAGAACGACTGCTTCAGATGCCTCGCCATAAGCGAGAAGCACGCCAACGTTCTCATGTATAAAGAAAGTGAGTATTGTTATTATGGAATTTCAATTTTAGCCTGCGATACCTAGCTTAACAAATTTGTAATCCTTACGCATGTTTCTACTGGTCAGGTGTTCATTTTCGAAACTTGATTTTTCATGTTTTTAGGGTAACTCCTTGATTGTGGAGCCGCTTGACACTCATATGGCAGAGTTATTTCAGCAATGTGCGTTGGTTTCCTACAGATCAGATGGAACAGTCCTTTGAGTTGAATGTTATCACAAATCAGAATCCAATTAATTGTATGTGTGAGTTCATACAGCCATTATGCTTTTGATCCCTCATTGATAAACCGAGTGCTACTCGAATATGATTAGTTTAGTTTAACCTATTCCACGTACTTCGAATATTGTTGCTGATATTTCAGTCCCTAGTAATATTGCTTTAGTTTTGCTTCAATTAAAATAGGAAAGTACACGAAACGTAAATATCGATTAAATAGATAGTCCCTAGATAAATTTGAATAATAAATTATGCTGAATAATGATATAAATTTTAATAATATTTTTGGACATTAAATTAATTTCTAGTAAAAATGCTAGGAAATTGTGAATTTTACTCAAAAAAATTCCTAAATAGTAATTCGTTTACTTACGATTCATTCACTGAAAGCAATGGCTTGAATAGTCGACAAAATAGACTTAAATTGTTCACTTCAATTACGAGTGTTATGTAATTAATTATTCAAAACTCGACATGCGATTTTGACTGAAACAAAATCGAAATTATTTACGAGGTTCTTGCAATTGCACTCGCTCACAAAGTAATTATTGGGATATCGTTAAGCCGAATGTTTTTTTTTGCTTTATTTTTTTTTTTTTTTGCTGCTCCAAATTATTTACGTTTTCAGCACGGAAGGAGATCACGTTTTCTAACAGTTCAGCTACTTAGCTTGAATAAAATATATATAATATATATATCTAAACATATATATCATGAAACAACCGGCTAAATAAAAAAAAGAAAGGCACAGAAAAGTTTCTGAAATAGAAGATTTTCGAGTGTTTAGTAATCCCAACTTTAACATTTCGAAGGAAGAACAAATGAATTAAATTGCGGCTTTTCAGTATCCGTTCATCCAGCTGCCAATATGTCGATGCTGGCTCATTAACAACCTCTTTTGGTATTTGTTTTTAAAATTATTTATATATGCTACCATGTTTATTCATTATCAGCAAATATGAACTGTTAGCTGCGATATTGACTTCAAATTTGGTGAAAGAAACTCGAGAGCTTATCGAAGTATATCTCCAAATAAAATTATTTAATTTAGATGGCATTTAGGAGACAAGTGTTTTTTTCACTTTTATTACATAAAAAAATTATATTTCATTAATTAATGGACTAATTTTTGCTTGCATAACGTTGTTGCTTCGAAAGTTACTATATTTCTCTTCTTATCAACTGAATGCACGCTTATGAAAATATTGATTTTGATGCTTGCACATAAAATATTCGACCGTAAAACACTACACCGTAAAACACGTAAATTCAAACAACCATATTATATTATTAACGTATTTGGATACATTTATTGAAAGATAATAATTTTAGAAGTTTTATGAATAACTATGATTTCGATAATATATTTGATGTCTCGGACATGTACGTTTATAACGTTTAATAGCATCTAGTTAATATTCATATTCAAGATTAATCCTAATGTAGCACCATTCTTTCTTAACACACACCAACCCATATATCATTAAATCTTACAAATACCTGCTAATTTCAGAACAATCAGTATTTTTCGTTCTCCGTCCAAGTTAATCAAGGAGACACTAGCAAAATTCCTAGCCGTAATTTGTGAAGGCGTTGCCAGCCGTTAGTGCGAGCGTATCAGCGTCATGGCGGCGTCTTATCAAGCCGCGGAAGACGCTCAAGATTGGCTCAATAATCTAATTGATATAATGTCGAGGTGACATTTACGAGGCCATTCTTTAGTGAGGATCCATTAGAGGGACGTGGGTCTTCCCACATTAGACATGCACACTGATAACAGTGTCTGCTAAGATCACGCATTATCATTTGACGTGTCTCCGTGGAACGCAATTTTTGGTCCCTAAATGTTATTTCAGAATGTAGTATAATTTCGGGCTTTCTTCCTGATTAGGCCATCTTGTGGTATTTTTGTTAACAGCTAATGTATTTCTTTCTTTAAAAGTGTTCGACTGAGAAGCAGTATGGCTCCCTATTATTAATTAAGTAAAATTTTATATATTCGCGTTATCATTGATGAGGCATTGTACTGACATGATTTGTTATTGTTGTTGTTATAAACTAATTTATTGATTAAAATGGTTTGTGGGTTTATGTGATTTTATGGTAATTCCGATTGCTGGGATAACGTATAGTTATGTGTACAGCAAACCATGATTTTTAAAGGATAATTTTGATCGGCAAGCCATCAATTTTTGACAAGCTTGTGTTGAAGTGTTGCAACTCATATTCATGTACCGCATTTTAGTACATGAATATTGTATTCCAGTATTATTGGCATACACTATTATAGATTCTCACCACCATAATGTTTAGTTTCAACAATTAATGTCAAATCGGACTCTATATTTTCTTTTTCAACACGTAATTTTAACCGTGAGTTGAGACGCCATTTTATTCATGTTTCAGCCTGGCTGATTTCCGCAGAAAACTGATGAAGTTGACAAATTACCTATCCAAATTGCAATGAGTTGAATAAAATCAGAAATTTTGTAAGTGTAGGCAACTAGTACTTGGTTTTCGACATTACATAAATCAATCAAAATATATTTAGTGTTTAAACAAACTGGAAAACGCAAAAAATTTGGTATATAACTAAACTATAAGAAAAACTAAATAATAATTTAAAATCCAAATATTAACGGTTTTTTCAATAAAGTGATTATGGATCATATTTTAAGAATAGAGATGATAAATACTATTTATTTGCTAACACTTTTCATTACCTTCATTGCGTTTGGTAATAAATCTGCCATGATGGTGGAAGTATACTATATGACTGCATGATCATACGATTACCGTGATATAGGAATTTTGTAGCGTTATAGCCGCACTGCTAACATGTGCATTGCGTGCAGCTTATTGCCAGCCCATCAGCGACCTCGACCACCTCTGCTCGTCTATCAACGGCGACGCTCCGCTCTACTCCATGTTCAGGCGGGACGCCCCCGCCGCCCCATGTCCCTTCAAAGGTACGCCGCGCCCCTGAATACATTCGCAGTTATAAAAGTGTTTTTCATTATTGTATAAGCAAAAGTATTTCTTAAGATATATTAAAAAGAAGCTTATATATGCCATTTATCAAAATATGATTTAAGGAAGTATCAATCCACCCAAATATATTGCACGCAGCATTAAATTAAATGACAGAGCAGCATTAAATTAAATGACGGAATCTCCAAATACGTTCTAATCTCGTGCTGCTCTTTTGAAAGTTGAGCTTCTATTTAATTCATCTTGTTACTTTTGTATTCATACTTGCTATGTCATCTCTGGCGCCTAGTCAGTTAACATTAAGCTACAATATCAAAGCTGCATAGCAACTAACTCGAATCACATGTGTCACCCAGTTTTGTGTGGTCTTCACCCCCAGGTCCTCTAACATTCAGCTACAACGTAGGGTCAGGACTGTGCACCACACCCGCGTCCAACATAGACTCGTGTACGCGAGACTCACGCCTCCTGCTGCGCTACCAAGCCTGCCCTGACATGAAGGGCACCGAGAGCCAGGGTATGCACTCATGACCCTATAAATGTTAAGGGCACGGAGAGCCAGGAGTTCATTATTATCACCTGTTTTCTCTGGTAATGCATTATTTTTTTCGATTTTTAAGATTCTAATATTTCGTTTATGAGTTTGCGCAATTAGGAGCTATTATATGGACAAGTTATTTTAAAAGAGATTTCTGCACCTGGAGTTTCCTGCTTTTGATTGCTTCTGAATAATTTCTTAGTCTTTACGATTGTGATTGTGATCTTAGCCGAAGAGAAACGCTTACGCAAGTCCTAATCCAAAGAAGCATATCCTTTATTAGACAAATAAATTTTATGTCTGGCATCAGAATTAGTTTGGTCCATCAAGTAGTTTAATACACGAATTAGTAAGCAAAATTAAGCGTCAAAGTATCCTTGGGTTAGCAAACTCTTCATTCCGAGATTGACTTTGCAACTGAGAGATGTACGTACGTACGTTACAATGTATTGTTTTGCTTATAAAGAATTAACTTTAAAGGAATATTTCTCACTTGAATACTAATTAAGATGATATCAGATCAATTCTACACCATTTTAAATCATAATTCGAGAATCCTAAATATGCCATAGCGAATAATACATCAGAATGACCTTAGTGTACATTTCATATAAACCCGAAAATCAATGTTCGGTGCTGGAATGCAAATGGCCGGACGAGAACACTGCAAGAGCTCTCACGGAACCCGACTGGCGCTTTTCAAAGACACGACTTCTTTACCCGCACGCGCACTCTCCCCTCTTTACAAATAGAACATAAGGGTCCTCCATTGGTTAATCCTGCTTTGCCACCGAAGGCAAATGCAAACTTGCCTTATGAAGAAATATTGACGTGGTCCGCTCTATGAGAAGAGTGACTCATATTTGTGCCTCTCCCGAATCCTTCTTTTCATGTCATCCTTGAGGAGCCGCTTCATTACTTACTGGATGACTCTCCTCTTTTGCATGCGTTCACAGCTAATGGTATTTGATTTGCACCCCGAGACTGCGAGCGCATCGATTGGAGGCGGCTTAACTAAAATTCCATTAATTTCAGGGAAAAGTTTTAATATAGTCAAGTTTTTATGTCTTCTTCGGTTAGGGTCTTCATCGTCTACCATGAAATGTTTGCAATCCCGAGAATTGCAGTAAAGTTGGAAGATACGAGGGCAAAAGCATATTCGGTACTGTATAATTAGGTGCTTAGATCCAAATTATATGTGCCTTATACAAGTTTTGCAGCTTCGAAAATCTTTAAAAAAACTAAGTAGAAGGAGTCTTTCATTTGGTAGTATTCCGACGTGGCAAACTGAGCACATTTTCATTAAAAATGTCATTTCATTTCGCAAATTGTTTTCTGAACCTTATAAAACGATAATTTGTTGTAATTTATTATTATTATTCCACGAAACAATATTCGTGGCATCTAGTTCAAACGTACTTCGAGGGCACCTTACATAACAGTTAATTTGTTCCAACAGAAGTGAAGCTGGAATGCATTGGGGAGTGGAAGGAAGGGACGACCAAGTATTTTGTTGGCAGAATCGACTCGCGTAAAGCGCTCACAGATGAAGACAAGTATCGGTGTTTTGCGTGGGAACATTCCAGAGAAAAAGATCTCTACGACTACAAGATGGCTCAGAGCGAGGACGCTACCTGCAATGGAGTGCCATCAGCCAGCGATGGAGCAGTCATACTTCAGATCAAGAAAGGTAAAGTTAAAATACAATATTACATTTTAAAGATATTTACAAGATTTACGGATATTTAAAGATATATAGAAGTTGTGTGTCAGCCTAATTTTAAGATATTTTCCGATTCGGTGATCGTAGCTGATTATGTATTGAATTGAAAATAGATTGAATGTCAAATATTTATTTCCCTCAATTCTGGGTGGTAAGTAAAAAAATTAATTTGCCTAACAAATCTTAAAGTACGAGATTACCAGCTCATTAGTGAAAAGCAAATAATTACAAATAGAGATGTCAGTTTTTATTCGTAATTCAGCCGTAAGTACCATTAATTTCAATTTAATGCCGGGTTCTCTCGTACATGAGAGCCTCAACTTCACGTTAATATTTGAACTGTTTAGGCTCTGTATTTATCAGTATTAAAAATTGAGTCACAAATAAACGAAAAGATTTCATCTTTCTGGCCCAAGATTGTCGTTATATTCTGTCTAAACTATCGCGTGGAGACTTTTTTCAAATGCATTTCTTCCCTTTGAAATTTTTTTAACAACCTTCAAGGAGAAAATATTTTACAGGTCTTCCGTACCAAGTTCAATTATTGTCGATTAGTTAACGCTGGCACGAGCTCACCTCTTACCATTTTAACACTAATTTAATATATTATAATACTCATTCAAGTCAAATGCTCATCGCGAGAAGTGCTCGTGTTTTGAACACTTGGCTTACGTTGCCTGGCGCTCGGCTCGTCCAATTTGAGTAAGCAGTTTAATGCCGCCAACTCCTGACTTTAAAGTAGCTAATTTGAAACAACTATTGCTTCAGATCTTTACGAGGCTGGAAAGAGCAGCCCAAGGTTGGGCCGGCACAAAAATGTTCTGTAAAACACTGAGCTATAAGATTCCACGTTGTCGCGTTAAACACGATAAAATAAAACACCTTGCTATAAGATTCCAAGTTATCGTGTGACCAGTTGGACATTTTGATAATGTAGTTCAAAAATTTTGAGCCACTAAAATTTATCGGTGGCTCATTCAATAATCGATTACTGGCTAGTGTTAATTCACCTAGAATTTTCTCTAGAGATACTAGATTTAGAATCAGTAACTTTGGAGTTTTACAATAGGTACAAGTACTTAAAACATTGACTTAATTTTACAACACTTCTCTTTAACTTCACTTCTTGTTGTTTGTCTGTCTGTCTGCTACAAATCTTATAATCGATATTTAACACACTTCTACCTGTCCAATCGATCTAAAATTTGGCACACTTGCATATAGTTGGAGACAATGCATGAATCAATTGACAGAATTAATAATTTTAAAAATTAATTTTTTTTCATTCTAAAAAAAAAAATTTCGTCTGCTACAAATCTTATATTTCATATATGACACAATTTGACCTGTTGACCTTTCCAGTCGATCTAAAATTTTGCACAATTGTATAAAGTCAGAGACAATGCATATGAATCAGTTGGCAGAAGAAATAATTTTGAAAATTTACGAAATTTTGATATCTTAAAAAATTTCGAATATTAATTTTTTAATATTTGAAAATAAAATTAGAAATTCATTGTACATGTGTAACATCCAAGACACTGGATTCTTGTCTTGGAAAAGTAGTGTTGTCTTTAAAATGTAATTTTTTAACGTGTATTATTTATTTTCAGTTTTAAGTGACATGGGACATGAAACTATTACACAATCTTGAAATACTGTTAAAAATGAATCAATTGCGAAAATTATGCGCTCAAGCATATAAATTCGCATTAATTATTCTTCTGAGAAAAGGATGCCCAGATGATTTTGAGGTGTATATTTGAGAACTTAATGTTAAAATAATTACTTTTACGCCTTCAGTTTGGACATTTGAAATCAGTTTAACTCTTTTCTCGCATATATCAATTAAAAAAGAAATCTATTGTTTGCCTGAATACTGATATGTCTTGCCTCATTAAAATTAACTCCTAAATTTCTTTTTCTTGTAAATGTTAACTTCAAAGCATAAATTTTTAACGAAAAAATACTCATTCGGTTGTGTACATCAATAAATGAAAATATTTTTCTTAAGTTCGCGTTGATGGTATTCATGGAATTCGTTCAAGAATTTCAGCCGCTTTTTCTTAGTGGGAACTAAAGTTAAATTTCACGGGGAAGCTGTCACAGAGCCATTAAATTATTGAAATTAGTCTAACAACGTTCATTTGTTTTCATCGCCTATTATGTTAATTCTAAGGACATCACAAAATTAAGAATGTCTTTTGCCTATACTGGTCTAGATAAATACATAGAAAATTTAAATGATTTAAAAAAATCGCGAGAAATAGGTAAAAAGTCGAAATCTTACGATAAAACCATAACATACATTGTATGATATTTGTAGTTAGTTATGTATTATTGCTGATATGTAAATAGCCAAACAGAATATGGCTACTCATTGCACCGGCTCTGAACAAGATCAGTTTATTCTCGCTTCAAGAGTAATTATATAGTTGGGTTTAATTGGCTTCCAAGGCATCGTGACATTTAATGAGAAGCTTACTTTGTTATGAACGCTTCAGACTTGAAACGCTTCACGAGGCACGGACTCTACCGTTGTTGTTGTAGTTGTCCGGGCAACGACACGACGCTGCTGGCTATTTACTATCTCTATCTCATATTTTTGTGACAAGATAATTTAACAAAAAATGTCTAATTATAATTTAAACTCATTTTAAGAATTTATGTCAGTGTTAAATTTAAAGCTTGTTTGTTAGCTCCAATATTCATCTAAGTGTATAAGATTGGTTCAAATGATTTAGATAAATAATCAAATTACAGCTCAAAATTGTATGCTTAAAGCGCATTTATATATCACTAAAACCCAGTCCCGTTGACGTCGTTAGAATGCACACTAGCGTTCGTAAATTCCAACTTCGCGCTTTGTTAACAATTGATGTTCATTTACAAATTTGACTTGTACAGGCAGCGCCTGTCAAAAATACCACAATGCTCAATTCTACTCCGCTTTCTCCATTGTTCGGAAGTCCTTGGCAGACAAAAATCGACTGCTCATTGAATACGCAAAATCAATCAGAATTTCACGACGAACCATTTCTAGGCATAGCGCTCAGGTGTGAACAATTACTGCAAGGCTTTCACTGTCGAGCACTGCATTGGGCGAGCCACGAGCTTCCTTTGATGTTCCTCATAATTTTTTAGTATCTTCATAAATCGATTTTGAAAGTCTTATATTTCTTAGATGCGCATATCAAAGGCGCACAATATAGTTCATCCAGCATTTATCGAATGGGTTGATTGGCTCACCTTGTATTAGACTTTCATTCATACAATTTGTTGACGCCTTATTATAGTTTATCATGCCTTGAATTTAATCTTTTAAATTTCTCACGATGAGTTCTCAAAGCTATTTTATTCATAATTCAATTGGATTTGCGCCATTTTGACTTCGAGCCCGACTTCATTATTTACCACTGTTAACCAAACGTTCAGTCTCACTGCATTGAATTTTAAATTGTTTCACTATGAATTTTCTTTGATACATTATGCAGAATATCCAAAAACATCTTATTTTTAAAGGATTCGTTAGTATCCCCCTAAGCATTGCACTAGTGTTGGCCGCCTCAGCCCAAGCGTGCGACTCGTACACGCAGAATACTTCGCACGGAGAATTTTGATGGTGTTTTGGAGCGGGCGAGTGACGGGACCGAGGTCGTATTTTCTGCCGTGAGCCGCGCGCATGTCACTCGCTGAGCAAGAGGGACGAGCGACTCTAGAGATGAGGGGCCGGCCCAGGGCTCTTATTCACCCTGACTGACGCAGAGGCTGGTGTTGCTGCTGAAACTTTAATTACTGATGCTGCATATAGTGTTATTTGTGTTGCTACGCTGTAATAAGGATTGCTTTAACTACTGTAAAGTTTTACTTTCGGATGTGAGACTCTTTTTCCTGAAAGTGTTTATACTTCTGTTGTTAGTGATGCTTCTCCGTTGTATTCATATAGGGGAAGCCTGACCGATGTAATTGCGGCTGCTACTGGAATTTAAATCTCGAGGCTGCAGTTTATTTCACATCACCTAAAACTGTGATAACATTCATCACTAATTATTTCACTAACAGATGATGCTTTCACTATCACTGGGCCCATTACGCTACAGTAGCTTAAATATACTTCTGTAACTATTGCTGATACCTATGAATTACTTTGTGGCTGATATTTCTGTTGATATGTCCCATATTACTGCTGCCATGGCTGCTGTCACTGCTGACATTGATAATATTATTGTTGACATGTCTCATATTACTGCTGCCATGGCTGCTGTCACTGCTGACATTGATAATATTATTGTTGACATGTCTCATATTACTGCTGCCATGGCTGCTGTCACTGCTGACATTGATAATATTATTGTTGACATGTCTCATATTACTGCTGCCATGGCTGCTGTCACTGCTGACATTGATAATATTATTGTTGACATGTCTCATATTACTGCTGCCATGGCTGATATCACTGCTGCTATTGATGATATTACAGCGGACATGGTTGATATTACTGCTGTGATTGCTGATATTATTGCTGCTATTGCTTATATTACTGCTGCCGTTGATATTACTGCTGCCGTTGATATTACTGCTGCCTTCGATAAATTTGGCAGCAAGTTCTGCTACGGCTACTTGCAACCAAATTTATTGCAAGATTGTTGTAATTCATCGCGTCAGGATCGTTGTAAGGCATCGTTCATAAGATCGCGAACATTCCTGCGAATTGTTTGCCACGCTCTAAATGTTTATGATAGCAGATTTATTAATGATATTCAATGTTGAAATATGATTCAAATTGGGCATTTTATAAGTTATTGCTGCCTTTAACGTGATCCTTTACGGTGACTTCTCTTCTTTCAGATTTTTTTTATTAAATAACTGATTGGTTATTGTGTATCTAAAGTTACATGTAACGCTCGAATTTTTGGTTTGCATGCATATGTAGTAAAATAAAATTCTCAATTAACATATAATTTATGATCATGATGTAGTCAGGAGTGAGTATACTAAATCACATCGCACCAATATCCCAATACTGCACAGCGAGTGATTTTTCGGCAGCATAACGGTGCTCGCGGAAACTCTTTCATTAACAGCAAAGCGCTATAACGTCTTGGAAGCACCATTACGTTCAGAGCGCATGCGTTGCGGAACGCATAAAAATGCTCGAGTACGCATCAAGATCTTCGATGAGGGGAGGGGACAGCAATAACCAGTTGTACACCAAGAATAATAAGCAAAGGCCAAGACTGCCTGCTTGTCTGGCCTATAGAAGCCTGTCCAATAGAGACGAGTTACAGATTATGTTTTGTGTTCAAATGTAGATTGTCGAACTGATGATGGAGCTGGACTACGGATCGTTTTCAATATCGATGTGGTGAATTTACTTGGCGTTATCTTTGCTTTAAAATTCCTTGTGGACTTGCGATATAAGCAAACTCATAATACAAGTACTTATATCACAGGTAGATTATGAACGCCATCAATACGGTCTGATCATCGAAATAGAAAATAGCTAGAATTACAAATAATATTTTCATATGTGGAAATTGTCGGTTGTTATTATTATTTGTAGATAATTAAAAAAATATTGGAACAATAATGGCAAAACAATAAAGGCAAAAGCTTGTACGCGCTTCTCGAATTAGGTGAAACCGAGACTTGGCGTTACTCTATAATGGTCCAGGTTCAGACGCTGGCATGAGAACGCGGTTCAAATAACTTTTATATGGTGGAACCTTGTTTTTTGTGGAGGGTGGGAGCCCTACTTCAGTGAAGGAAGGAAGCTATAGGGAGCGCGTGCCGAGCTGTAGAGAAGTAATTGAATTTTGCCGCAGCTCCAAAAGATGAAGGCCATTTCGATCAGAAATGGCCCTTGAATTGCCGACTGTTAATCTACCTTATGCCCGCTGTAGAGAAATCCTCATTTCTTTGTACAAATTCACCAATCCTGCTCAGTTCTAACGCCAGGTCAGGATTTAAAGGTCTCTGAAGTCTGGTAAGTTCATATTTGATCAGCTTTAATCCCGAAGAATTTTAAGCAATTAATTTACTTCAAACGTATCGAGATAGTTTGAAGCTCAGGTTAGGCGGGGTAATTTTTTGACAGTTTCTCTGCTCGTTTATTTGGATCTACATTAGATTTCAGCAATGCAAAGATGACATGTCAACTCACAATGTAAGAATATTTCATTTTGTTCTTCACTAGACATGAAGCAAAGTAATTAATTTAAGCGCAGAATAAAACAGTCGCTGAAATCAAATTATCTTCTGCGTGGAGCATAGTAAATTCATACAACAGGTTGTATAATCAAAAGTCATTAAGTAATATTTATAAGAATAATCCATATAAGTCTTCTCTCGTTCAATTTATTGGTAAATACCTGCCGAAATGTCACGCAAGATATAAATTGTAAGTGTTCTATCATAAACCATCTCACAAAATTCCACATTTATTATAAGAGAGACCGCAGACTTTATGCATGTTTTGAAAAGCAATAAACCCTTATTGAAGATTTGTTTTGGCGGGGCAAAGTTATTGCGAATATAGTTTCGCGGAACCTGCTTCAATTCCGGAGCGTACGTACGTACGTGGCACGCTTTTAGGCTCCATGCCTTGCGCTTCTGTGCACTTTAACAGGTCAACCTGAAAATAAAAACTGGCGGTGCACTGACCCACTGATATTGCTTTCTTGGTTGGATGCTATCTGGACCATTGTTTTTGAAAGGGGATTAGGAGGATTTATAGATCTAAGACATTTATGGGAATGATTTTAACGTCAACATTAGTCTTTAACCACAGTCAGTTCATTTCTCGTTAGTTTGTTTACGGGTTTTAACTATTATCGAAGAACCTTGAATTACATAATAAAATATTCAAATTCAAGTTATTATAAGCAAAGTTGATTTTGTTAACTTAATTATCATCATGATTATGGAATAGTTAGTGAATAATGTTGATTGGAATAGTTATTAAAATAAATGATTATTACAATCAATGCACGCATTAAATCTTCTGATCGTCAAATGATACCAACAATATTGTTCTCTGATGACTCTATCTGCATTACTATTTGCCTCGCACAACTTATTTATTCACTTTGTTCACTTATTTGTTCACTTATTTGTTCATTTTGTTTGTTCAAAAAACATAAAAATATTTATTCTCTAGGATATTAAATGAAATGAATAATTTCAATAATTTAAAATGGATTCTGATTTTTTTAAATTTCGCTCACGCGAAGAATAATCATTTACTAGTCCATATACAAAGCAAAATTTGTTTTCTAGCGGGCAGTTACAGCGGGTGCCGCTTACCCACTTGGGTGACTCACCATCGCCGCTGGCACGCGCTGGACCGGGGAGCGATATACGTAGTTGCGCACTCGAACGCAACGCTGCGCCTACATCACGTGCACAGCTCCAGCGCTGCCGTCATCTCCAGCACCGCCAAAGACAACGTCATCGACATGGGAGCCGCCTCAGGGCAGCAGGACGGCCGGTTCAAAGCAGGATATTCTGGCAAGGCGCAGGCGAATGGCGCCGGCAAGCGGAAATATTGGAGCCGGGATCACGGCCGCAGCGACGGAGAGTTCGACGAGCCTGGTATGTTTTGGAATAGAGTAGTATTGAATAGAATTAAATGAGTAATGTAAATAATGAGCTATGAATCTGTCAAGTTTAGTGTGTAAATAGCAGGGAGTGAATCATATATAACTTCTGTAATGGTAACTCCACAGCTACAGAGCACAACCTGATTTCTAAGTTAAAAACTGTTTGTAACTTTTACTGGCCATTGAGATACTTTCACAGAAAAAATTGATTTCGGTTTCAGTTATGTCAAAATTTGATGCAAGTCGTAGGAAAAGAAATTTTGTTATACGTCAGTTTTTGTTGAGAATGGATGTTTCAAAGTTTATCTCTATTGCTTTAAAATAATTTTCGTCCTTTTAGAGAATGGGAAAAGCATTCTTACCGCATTTGTTAATTCCGATGGAGTCAGCTTGCATGGTAGGAACTCGCTGGTGATAGTCTCAGTGCAGAGAGCAGGGACCTACCTAAACTGTCCTCATTTTCGGCCCCCGTAATCGCGCAGAAGTGCAGCCACAACGAGCCTTAACGGTAATAGTTCCAAGTACGTTTAAACTGCCCTGCTGCTGCTGCCCTTGCCATACACTTGCTAATGCCACGAGCCTTCTAACTGCCGAACTGTTAGGCTGCTGGCACTCCAAAACTACAGCTCACTTTAGCAATTCAAATGTGCACGAATATTCCGTCACTCATGTGATACCTTTAGGTTTCTAATAAAGAGACTAATTTCTAGTGGATGCCAGTATAGGAGTCGGCATGAAGTCTGAGTCATTTTGAAGCGCTAGGTTACGGTATCTTCTATACTTCATCAGACATCGATTTTCAATTATATCCAATAGCTATGTATATATATATTAACTGCTATATTATTATAATTGAACTTATATTTCATTCGGTTCTTTGTTCTTATAGCAAGTTTATATAAACAATTATATTCATTACATCATGAAAATAATTTTTATATTATGAAAACTTGAAAAATAGTTCTTGAATTTTTCCAATTTTCAGGAAGTTTTTAAGTTTAAGCATCGAGTCCGTGTTTTCCAAGGTCTAAGCTGTCGAGTGCAGGTCACCCGCTGCGCGTGTCTTCTTTAAGAAGTTCTGGGCAAAGCGACAGTAAATCTGTGATGGCGCTATGAACGCGAATCTGAACAGTGATGCAAGCCGTTAAAAGCCTTTTATTGCTCTTTTTTATTACAAATTAAGCAAGAAGTTCTAATTAGATTTGCTGGATCGTTTCAGTGCTCTTGGTTCTTAAATAATAAAAATCGCTCGTTGTCATAGGCTTTTCCATGATTTATTCAGATTTACAGACTAATTGGAGTGCACGGAATTCAACTTTTATAAATTACTTATTGGCAACGCGGAAACATTTAAATAGTTGAAAATTTTTTATTTTTTTTTTTCACTCTAATGTAATATTGAATTAAGTTCTTAATTGTGATTAATAGGGACTGAAATCACTGGACTGCGCATACATTGGGTGTCTGGTTGTTACGACTGACACTTAATAAGTCTAATGGTATGTGATTTGCCTTTGGACATTAAAGAGATTCTAAGCCACTGATCTTCAAGAAGGTTATAATTTTTGCTATATGAACTAAACGACATCGATCAGTGTAAGAGTAGATTTACAGATTAAAGATGCATATCGGTGCGTAGTATTCAAATGTGTACTTTATGGAAGGTAGATGACGTTACTTATACAATACATTTGAAACAAATGCATAATTAAAGAGTTCTGGATGCGGATTAATCTTTACTGATCTGCTCGGAAAATCTCATGACTCTTGTTGTTATGTATGATGACCCGCTAAACTCCGTTTAGCAAAATGAGAAGGGTACGTGCAGCTTTCATACAAATATTCTCGGTGCACGATGCTGTTCAATCGTCCGCATAACTGTCCAATATAAGTAGATGTGAACATTGTAGAATAGTGTAACGCTGGTCTCGAATGGTTGTTATTGGAGGTTGAGCATCTTTGGGGGGATTGTGGTCCATTGCTCGAGCCGGGCTTGCAGCGGTGATCAGGATGAGCCGGGTTAAGCCTCCTTATTGCTGTGGTCCAAAGGGAGCTGTGGCAGTCCTCTTAATGGCTTCGTGGAGTGTTGCGCTCGTAGGATTACACTTAATAGACAGCTTGCGGATTCGGTCTTGGATTAAAGTTGAGCAAACAAATGGAAATTTATCTCAGGGTAATGCCACAGCTCGTGGCTGTGTGCGATGGCGCTCTGGGGGCACTTCAAGGAGCAATGTTAGGAAAGGTATTGTCGATTTGGACCTGAGCTTTGGTTAGCTTGGCTTTGTAGCTTAGACATTATTCAGACATGTCTTGAATACTTTGATGCCACTCACTTGTAAAGTCGGCCGACTATCATCGGAAATTTTTACTTAGGCTGGATTTTGTTCCAATTGTATTCTAATAAGATTGGCCCTTGATCTTGAAAAATTTCTACTACTCTGTAAAAATTTTTTCTACTGTGTCTTTGAGTGACTTGTATTTTTTGTGTGCCTCGTATTATTCAAACCTTCCTAATTTTACTATATAATAAGTAATTGCTTTTTCACCTTTAAAATCGTATTTTAAATTTGCCTCCTAACAGATTTAAAGATTGCTTCAAAAGCTCTAATTCAAAACCTCTTTCCTATCATTGAACGAATTATCTACCCACATTTATCTGAATGAAGTGGAAGTGCTGGCGATTTTACCACGAATCAAATCCTTGGAACTAATTGCCGAGGACTCAGTCACTAACTTAATTCTTACATAAATAATTTTTATATTACATTTTAAGGACTTTACACAAGAAGTTACTTTAACGTCATTATTTACTGGAGTAACATTAAAATGTTTCAGAATCAAGCGTACGGGGAATGTCAAGTTTCTCCAATTTTCTCGCGCAGGTGTCGCCACAGAAGCGCGCATTGTTTGCTCGCAGCGGCTGCGCGAGTCACCGAATCACGTGATGCTTGTCACGCATTACACGAAGGGCTGGTGAGTGGCTGCATGGCTAATGCTTGATAATACATTCTTCTTGCCAATGTTGTTTGCTTGTGCCAAACTGCTCTGGTGTCGCCGTGGTTATACTTAATCATATTGTTATTTACATATAACTTCCTGTGTTGTTGTGGAAATTGATTCAAATGGTGATGAATAGCGATGTACATAATTAATTTTTATGCCTAATTTCGAATTGTTTGTATTTTTGAAAATTCTTGAGCACCATCTCATCGACGTCGTACACTCTGTAGCTCAACTGTTAAAGCTTGTTAAAATTATATTAGTTTTCATGTTTATTTGTGAAATCTACATTCAATTATATAATGTAACTAAACATAAATCTAAGCTGAAACTAATGCTCATTGCTAAAATCAGATCTTGACGATGACGAAAATCACACTGATAAAGTTTCAACTAAATAAAACGGATCAAGTTTAGCTGCTGTTTGTTTGAATTTAATGACGTGACATCAAACAGAGGTATCACGCTGGAACCTGTGGTTTCCATTACTGTAAATGCCAATAAAGTCGCCACAACACTCAAGTCGCCGGCCTTCCATTGAAACGATCTATTTTTAAACAAAACTGAACCACATATTTCCAGCGCGATCAAAACAGCTTTGTAGTCATCATGTAGTTATCGAACATACAAATCGTACTTCTGACCAGGATTGAAAGTTTTTTAGTGACAAGTGTCGAGGTAAGTGCAGTATCTGTTGAGTGGCTTGTGTGTCATTGACAGTAGTAGATTATTTGTCATTATACACAGCGCGTACGTTATCTCTGCATGGTGAACACAGTCCCTGATACTGGGAGGGGATGAGGATAAGGAGATAAGTTGGAGAGGCGGCAGGGTCGAGTAGGGGATGGAGAGGGACGGATAGGAAAGGGAGCAGGACAGGTAGGAGAGGGAGCAGGAACGGGTAGGAGAGTGAGCAGGAACGGGAGGAGAGGGAGTAAGAACGGGTAGGAGAGGGAGCAGGAACGGGTAGGAGAAGGAGCAGGAACGGGTAGGAGAGGGAGCAGGAACGGGTAGGAGAGGGAGCAGGAACGGGTGAGAGAGAGGGAGAGGGACGAGCAGCAGGTTAGGGCGGGCTCATTTCTTGTCGCTCAGCAAACAAACTCGCTTGCCAAGTATGTCCTAAAAATTGTGATCACTTTCCTTAGTACAGATAAAATGTTTTTTCGTTGCCCAGATGGTTTGCTGTGTAAAATGTATAAACAGAATGTACTCATTCATGATTTATTTAAAATATGTGAAACGATTTAATTGGATGGGTGATGATTTGCCAGTAAACTAAGGTTCGTCATTAATAACAAAATTCTGGAATTTATTTGTTTGAGTGAGAAATGGTTCAAGCAAACACGATTAATGTAAATTCGAAGGAACGTCTTAAAATCTAACTAAAATGTAGAAACAGAAGCTAAAATAGATTTTCAATGTTATAGTAAAATTTATCGCGAATGCTGCTCTCCGTTACCAAAATGTACTGCATTGCTTTATTGTCACTTTTAGCTACTGCATTGTTAGGAAATGCAAATAGGATTCGTGAAATTTGTTATATTAGTTATGATTCACCACCGATAGAACTTCGCAAATGAACGTTTTCTTATTTATCATTGTTTCTTGATCCACCACAGGAAAAAGGCTCCGAATCTCTAATCCAATAGTAGAACATGAGCTAAGGAAATGCCCGGTTTATTTGTGTTGTGGTCTCCTGTATATATCGTTCATTTATTATTATAGTTTTCATTATGATTTTTATTTATCCCATATTTACCACTAAACCCAGGACAGGTTCATAAACTAGAAGCAGTCTTGGATTATCGATTTTTTTATCGATTATATTAGTTATCACAGCGTCTTGGATAATCAAGTCTACAGCAGCAACGAAGTTGCCGCGGCGAGCGGTAAGCGCAACAGTTTCCGTGGTGCAGTTTCCGCTGGTTGAAATTTTTGTCCGGGTATGGATGATGATTTTGACCGCTGCGCAACGACGGGGGCTACATCGCTGCGGCGCGCGTGTTAGGAAGCTTTTGTTAACCGCCAGGTTGCATACAAAGCCCCATTGTGCTTCTCTGCCATCGCTTCAATAGCATTCGTCTTCTCAAGCACCGCATTCAAAAGAAGATAATTTACGGAGAATGCAAAACACGAGCATGAGACAGCTCATGTCTGTCGACGGATTTAGGACGGCTTCATGGAACATTTTTTTTTGTTAATTCCGATTGAATCACATGCGTAAAAGTATTTGCATTTCACTTTGAATTCATTTTTAATTCTGAAAACTGAAAACTGGTATTTTCATGTCCTCATTAGGCTTCAGTATTTCCTCTTAAAAGATTCATCAAACTTTGTTTTTTCTCGTCGGTTTAAAATTTGTTTGAAATGAAGTCTTTAATTTACAAGTTGAATACTCCCACAATCACAGCATAAATCCACTATTTGTTTTCGAAGCTTCAAGCATCGACCTTTTTTACCTTTTTAAGTGTATTTCAATATGAGAAAATTCAATTTTATTCCTTTTCTCGTACATCTTACTGACACGCGCCAGTTCACGCGCGTCCATTGTGCCGTGTGACTCAGTGCACTGTTGCAGCTTTCCCATCCAATTGTTGGCTGAAAGCAATTCATCATATGCGAGGGGCTCCCATGAGGGTTTTAACTCAAAGTTTTTGTTTGAAGTTATAAGCCCTCAAATACGAACAGCCCTAGCGCCACGCCCCTGGTCTGGGTCTAATTTATTCATCAGTGACGAAGAGTCGAAAAGTTCCACTTAATTTTCAGTCGCATCGGTGGCGGCCGTCACCATTGGTGTCTTTTAGCTGTTCAAAATAAGTTTGAGTTTTTGCGTTGTGTCAGTTTCTTCTTAATTAAGTGTTGATTATTTTTGCAAATAATTGAAAAATTAATTTTGGTCTATCTTTACGAATAGCCACAGTGAATGATTACTGAAGTGGTAAATATCAAGCACTTCTATGCATTATTGCGTGATTTGTGCCTCCCTCAGGAGAAAATCTGAAATCGGCAAAGTCCCAATTACATGCATGACAAATGTTTCTATATTTCCTTTCCTATTCCCTAGTTTTCCTTTCCTATTCAAATATTTGTTATAAGCAAATTCGTAATTTTCCTCGACACATCTATTCTCGTCCATTCTTCTATGTTCCGAATAGCATGAGCAGGTGATGTTCTGCAATCACTCGTGCAGCACTTATTGCTCTGCGACGAAGCGGGCCAGGCCATTACCAGCGCTCTAGGCAGGATATTAAGAGCCCGAGCCCTCAAAATTGGATCGATGGACAGTCGGTCACCGCTGAACTTTCTACTCCCGGGATTGCGTCCGCCGGAGCTTCCTTTAAATGAACGATGTTTTGAAGCAAAAATGAACAGGCTTTTCCAGCGTACATCGTTCTCGTTTCAGAATTTGATTTTATTTCATCCTGAATTGCCCATCTTCGTTTCATGTAGTGTCATAGAAAGCTCAATTCCATTTCAGCTTAATGGTTGAAAGCCCGTATTGTCGTTCATTTTTTCGGGATGCGGTGGAAGAACAGTGGATTTATTGTAGTTTTCTTGTAGACGAAAGATTTACGCCACCCGAAACGATAGGATATTTTTGGCGTTCGTCCCCGATCTGTTGATGTCGACTGTCGTGTTCACTGAAGAAACTTTAACCAATTTTCGTGTTGCAGCTCAAGTGGGTACGTGTGTACAGTGCTCTACCGCAGAGGCCAGCACATTATCGAGATGCAGCAAGGTCAGTTGTTTGATGGACTTGGATAGCACAGTAAAGCTATTCATAAATGTTTCATAAATAAAATCAGTCATTGTTTATCGTTTTCTTTCGAGATGGCGCTTCGGAATCAGACCAAATTTAGAAGTTGGTATGGTGTAAGTCCGTCACTGTTTTTCACAATGAAATCTTCGGAATTAGTGCCATGTTTACTGGAGAACAATATGGATGTTTATTTTTTGATTTCCGATATTTTATTCTGTATTTGAAGAACTGCATTGAACGTAATCGACAATTTACTATACCCACTAAAATAATTTGCAAATTATCGCTTGCCCTGGAATGGTCGTGAGTCGGCCGTAGCTTTATTCGCTCGAGATTACGTTTAGCAGGAAAATTGTTCACTCCGCCCTACCGTTGCGCAGGCTCGCCATCGATACTACCTGAGCAAGCGTGCCTGGCGTCCAACTTTAACGCTTCTGCTGCTCCTTACATCACGCTTATAAGTGAGATTTTGAATTCATATTTTGATATTGAAACTAAAATTTAAGATTTTTTCAATCATCGAACTCAAATTCTATCGTTTAGAAACCTTATATTTTGAAATTTGATTGCAATATCCGTGTTTGAGTTAATACAATTATAATATGTTTTTCAACAACCACAAACCTTGTTTACTCTAAAATAGATTCTTGAAATTTAATTTGTATGCTTTTTAAATCAAAGTCACTTCAGAATAAGAATTAATTTTAATAAAAAAGGAGTGTGGTTCTATTTCAAACATGTTCACGCAATAAAAATCACGGAGGAACTTTCTTAAATTAATGAATATTAACAAATTACAAGGCGGGTCGCCGGCTCCCCAGCCGTGCCCGCTGGCGGGTGTATGGGCGGCCCAGGAGGCGGGTGAAGGGCTGTCGGATGGCGGGTGCCAGGAGCGGCGGGTAACCCACCTGAGGGCGGGCTGTGGCGGCGTCCAGCACAACATGGAGTTCGTCCAGTCCTGCGACCCACCCGAGGCCGGCCTCCACTGTACGCTGGCCATTTTTGTTCCACTAAACCTGATGAATTTAACCTGGCCTATTCATATATGGAATTGTTTGATGAGAATATTCAAGTCAATAAGTCTTTTAAAATATGCTCAACTTTTGATTCTGTTATTATGTCATAATGGCTGTTATTATGTCATATAATGTCAAATCATCTGTGGCCTGGGTAACAAGATAATGAGTTCCTTTTCATAATTAAATAGTAAGAGAGATCTAACCTGTCACTCTTTGAATTATAAAAAACCTAATACTGCAATGCTATTGTTGGAGATATAATTCTAGCATTCTTCCTTCCTTCTCATATGTCGTGCAATCTGAATTTTCTCTCAAAAATAGGTTCCCATGCTTCATAGTTATGAATATCCTGGGCAGGGTTTGTCCCTTCATATTACCTTATCCCTCTTTTTCTACTACTATATCGTGTATCCTTTTTCTACTCAACTTTTCTTCTCGTTTTTGTCTTAATTTATTTCTTGTCTCACACATATTCTACATACACTTTTTATCGGAGATAAAAACGATTTCATACACGTTTTGATGAGCATGTTTCTGATTGGTTACGAATGCTCCACCACACAGCGTACGTGTGTCACGGACACTGGCAAGAGGGACGTTCTGTGTTCGTCGTGGCGTCACCCAGCGATCGTCCTGCTCACCGTCTCTGCCTTACGGCCTCCGTAGATTCCGAGGAAGATTCTCACAGGAATAACTTCCGTGACCAAAACTCTTTCTATAACAACCGGGATGATCACAATAGAGACTTTGGTAATCCGTACGACAGGGAGAGTGAGGAAGATTTGAGCTTTAATTATGACTCTAACTCGTTTAATAATAATGATGGTTTCCGAGTGGAAGACTACGAGAGAGCGGCAAGTCCTAAGGCTGAAGAGTACGCTCCTCGGTCCGATCAGTTAGGTAGTGGAAGCCATGTTAACAGTCATCACGTGGGGGATGATAAGGAATACAACTCGCACCGGTACGGTCCAGTGACCCGAGGAAACAGACAAATGTTGGATGGTATTAATCTCCTGCTCAGTAACCGAACTCTCGTCATCACGGCGCATGCGCACTCGTGTCCTCGGCGAGTGGTACCACCCACCACGTTCCTCAGCGTCAACCTAACCATCAAAAGTGAGTAGATGTAGACTACGTAAAATATTCTCAGTGAATTTACCTCATTAATTGAAAGAATATTTCGCCCTGATCCGCTCACACGCTTATTTTCTATACCATGTTATGGGAATTATATGTGTTGTATTGTTTTGCACTTTTGCAGCTAGGTGCGTCTTTCTATTCTTGGCAATGATGTTATTTATCAAAAATGCATGAAAATAGTGAAAAAGATTTATATCGAACACATATTGTTTCCAAATACTTTTGATTTGACTTGACTATTATTGAGATTTTCATAGAGATCTTTGCTCTAAGTAACGTAAGCAGATACCCATGAAAACGATTAATTCGATCTTGTCTCACAAGTCACAACTTGCAGTTCGCAATCCGCTGGCGTCAATAGGAGACCCAATAAAAGAACCTGCCGAACATAGCCCATTAATTGAGCCTATAATCTTTTGATGTAAAGTTCATATATATCGTAATCATACTGCGTAAGTCTCCATGAAGAAAGTTGAGCAAGGCTATGGGAGGAAACCAAAGTTTTAAATACGTATAAGGTTGAGACAGTTGTCAAAATAAAAAAATACAACTCAGTACTCACTGCAGTGAGTAACAGAGAGCGCATTTTCTCGTCGACGAAAACTTGAGGTCACGGACGGACGGACAGATAGACAGACGGACATGGCGAGCACAATAGTGTATTTTTTCCACAAATGAGAAAATGCGCTAAAAAGGAAAGCTACACGCATAGTCCTGTTAAAGCTTTCTATTAGGCAAAGTAGGCTTGAAAACAGAGTATCACTTCCCTCAATTAATAAATTATTTTTTAACTTATAATATCATCTTTCAACCTACAATAAAAAATTGTCAGCATTTTGGTTCAGCGCAAGTGAGAAAGCTTAACTTTCACAGTTTAGCCCGTTAATACGATATTTCGGCTCTCTGAATTGCGTTTTTTATTTACAGTTTGATTTTTCATGAAGTTTACCCTAGTGTCGCCAAATTAATCACGAGATGAGATGAATTCAGATAGCTTAGCGGATCAAGCAGTTATTGTTGTCCGAAATGGATATATCAGCCATAAATATGTCAAATCTTGATCAATACTTTTATTTCTGGTGCACATTTCAATTTTTCTTGATCAAAACTTTGCCCCTGTGCTACATTGGGCTCAACGATGGGCGCCAACTGCCTCTATTGTGTCGCGATCACTCGCTTTTTCTGACCCCAACTTGTGACAACTCGACTTGTTTCGTCGCGTGCACGCTTTCTTATTATTTCTGGCGCGCTTGTCGGCTTCTCTGACAGGCGTGTTATGAAGAAAAGGGGAGCCAGGTACTTCAAAGGAACAAATAAATGGCTTGGCAGCAGTGTAGTGTCATTTATACACAGGCACCAGCAACCTAATATACCTCCTTCAGACGCAAGTGTACAGGGGGAGCGTTTTGTCGCTGCTTTCCCCTACACTTTATCCTCATATCCCATACGTTCAAAAGTGCGCGCCAAGGGTCATAATTGACTATTATTCCACGCTACCTGCATTACTACAATGAGGATTTTCTCCTGAAGTACAACAATTGAAATGTTAGTCAGAGCTACCGACGCTTTTCTAGTTTCTTGGTGATGCAGTAAGCATCCTTGAATTTAAGTTTTCTCATCGGTTGTGCGACCGAAATTTCCAATTTCCAAAATAATTTTTATTTTTGAGAGCTTGGATCACTGTTATTCGAAGTAGAAGCTGTAAATATCCAAGTATCTACACAATGTTTCATTATTTATAGGTAGATTGAGGTCTTGGTTAAATTAATTCAAAATTTATGTTTATTTAATTATTTTTCTGAAGAACGTGGATGCGGTAGTCTTTAAAAAACTGGAGTCAGCATTTTCGTGAGCCACTATTCAGTTGATCAATCTCCAAGGGTTAATGATTCCTGTATGCAGTATAAATGCGACTTTATAGTCGCTCCATATGTTGGTGAACCTCATCGCGAAGTTTGGTTCAATTTGAAGGCACTTCATTGGCATACTTCGTACACTGCAATGTCACTATAGTCATCAATTGGAGTTAACTTAATTATTTTGTCCTTGACTCGTAGGATGAAACTTGGAGCATAAACACAAGAGCATTACGAGGGGTAAATTGTCCTGCTATCTAGAAAGTTAGCCTATCCCGGACTGACTGTCACGGGCGTGCAACCAACGAATCCTGCCTATTATGCATATCAAGTCCTGTATTAGGCTACGATAAGTTTAACGGCAGCGCTTCTTGGGCCTAACTTTGCGGTGGGAGATTGTTTTCTGAGTTCTAAGTAGTTTGTTTTGACGCAACTTCTCATGGAGGATTCCCGTCTATTTTTTTGTGGGCTCTTTGCTCTCGTGGCATCGGGAAGTCGAGTACTTTGCATACATTAGAGAACGCTGGACGTGAGCTGCGCAGTCACTGGAGTCTAACTTTGCTGCGCCAAGTGGCAATATCGTCGTACACTTGCGTCACTGCATGGATGCGTCTTGCTTGACGTCGTATGAATTTTGTCTTATTTCAATTTTGAATGCGGCGAATATTTTCGAATTAACATTCGAATTTCAGTATTTTTTTATGCAGGAGGGATTTTCATTATATTTCATACCTTATATACTTCTTTTTCATCTGAAATAGCTACTCATACATGGTATGTTATTATTTTTTATACATTTTAATTTTTTTATACATTTAATTTAAAATTAAGCTGAACTGTTGTTTTTTTCCTCAGCTGAGTGTCTGGTGGCCAGCTCAGGCAGGCGTGCTAAACTGGAGCTGCTGATGGCCGGCGTGGCCCTACTCTTCCTATCCTGCTCCAGCATTTCCTCCTTCTTAAGCTTGACTTTCCCATTCAGCTTTCTCTGCATTTTTAACATTTATTCTTTTAGTTTCTCACCATACCACAGCTTCCTCTCTCTTTCCAGTCACTTGCCTCCTCTCAGGATGCACTCCACTAGACGCTTTTTAAATTCTATCAGAAATTCGGTCGCCTCATCCAGACCTATTATCTCTACCAGGCCATTGGTAGTGGCCACGAGATGAGGAGTTTTTGGATAATTTAAAGGTCTGTATAAATAATGAACTGCAAACTCGCGTTCGAGAGGCGTGCGAGTTACGTCACTAACTTAGATGTGAGTTATTATAGAATTGATTGATAAGCCTAATGTATAGATAGATTGTTGCTGCATAGCGCACTTTTCAGTTCTTTAACTCAGTTAAGTTTGTAAAATGCTACTTTTTAAGCCAACCAACTTCTGCTCTGTACTGGAGATTAATGAATGTTGCAATAGTTTTGAATGTTTCATCTTGAAATTCAGTAACCGGGCTTTTAAGTTTTTTCTATGATATTTAAATAATGAATACGATGATAGCTGGCTAGATTTTTCTGAAAGGGAAGCTAATTTATTTATAGGTTTCAAATGCAACACAACTCAAAACTAGGATTAAACAGACGACTGTATTTTAGATATATAATATTTAATACTAATATCTGTTATAGGATATGTCTCGTCCATTGCTGTAGTGTTTAAATTTGGCTAATGGTTATAGTACCGCAATAATATGAATGAAATAATTAATTTTGAAACTGCAATTGGACGTGAAGTTAAATATTCATGTTATTAAAAATATTTTAGAAGAAATAATTTATTGAATTTGCGGTGCCCGAACGTTATTATCAAATGATGAACTGGTACGAGATAGATTTCTGTTCTGTTCGCCCTCTGTAATTTCATGTTTTGCACATGAAAATGTTAACGATGTTTTACAATGTGAAGACTTATTATCAATGCAATTTTTTTCAACCCGAGTTACTAACACTTGCAAGTTTTTAACTTTGGAGTTGAGACATACAAGTGCTTTACAAACTCGTGGTTAGGTCTCATGCTAGTCTGATCAATGGGAATTGAACAGACCACTCTATTGACCACTCTATTTTTCATTGTTCTGCATGTCTTATTTTAAATTATTCTAAAAAATATTCAATATGACATTTTCTGTCCTTTCCTATCAGAATAGCCTTATTTTTTCACTAATTGTCATTGTTTGTGTTATGCATAACAGAATTATGTAACACTCATGCAATCGCACTAAAACTTGCCACTAATGAACGAGGTTAATGAATTCGAATTACCCGTTTGCTATTGGTTAGTATTATGTCGATACGAGAAACTGAGTCGATACCGATGAACTCGCAATAATAACCTAATTTTAAAGTATTTTGACCTTGGGCACATTTATAAATAGTTCAAAGTATTGCAAAAAAAACTCATATTACATTTATTGCAGTAATAAGAAATCTACTTTTTGCATTTGATCATCGAAAATTATTAGGTATTGCTCGTACAACTATAATTTTAAACGTGGCAATCGTCTATTTGAATTTTTCAGCATTCCTAAGATTTCCATTTTAAACAATCACTGTTTAAATTTTGATTTTGTTAACGGCATGAAACTCTTCGGAAACATTGTAAAGACTGACGATTATTACCTAGAATCAATAAGTCATTGTTGAGGTGAGTCGATAAATATATCGTTCGCCTTTAATTCTGTGCAGTAATTGTGCAATTTAATCCTCATTCCATTTAAGCGTTGAGACATAGGACGTGTGATGTGTCTGTATAAAATATACAATATAAGAATGCATTTATATATATAACAATAATTAATTAGAGCTATAGACGTGTTTGTGAACTTCGTTGAGGATAAATTCTAGGGGAGTTACAGTTGAGTGGTCAGTAATGCATATCTTTTCGAAATTACGGCTCTCACAGATATGATGTTATGTTTCAAAAGCAATTCGTTTATGTCATACAGCAAAACCATGCATAAATTTTTTAGATAATTCAAGAAAACACTCTCGTCAGATCACACACCTTCGACCAAAAGCTTTTTAATTTATTTTGGTATTTAATTTTCCCAGTGATTTATTATCTCGCTAAAGAAATCGATGACCGAAACTGATAGTTTGCAAAAAAGGACGCCAAATTAGATCAGTTACGCTGGGCAAGACTTATTTCAATGAATATTCACTTTTTGTAACTACAATACTGTTTTATCACTCATCCTAGCTGCCTATTACTGATGAGGTCATGCATGTGAACTGCATCCTTCGACGCATAGAATGTCCCGGCTCTCAAGTCCCAAAACCCACACGGTCCCATTTTAGAACTTTTATGCTCGGAGGAACTTGCCTTCGGTGACGTCAACTTCATTCAAACAAAGTTAGATGAGGGGTGCTCGATGAGGTCGGTACCTATGGCATAGTATGAGGGTTTGAGCGTTATAATTAATTATAGCGGTGAACGCTCCTCTATTCATTCTGGAGTAAATAATTTAATTTTGTTGTCAATAACATACATTGGCTGAACTAAGCCAGTTTAAATGCCGATTGAATCACAGATTTGAAACGTTTTTATCGATAGAATGTTCTGTCTTGGTCTATAATCCTATTTAAAGCAGTAAAATGTTGTAAACAATCTCATTATTTCACATGCACTTTATTCCAATCCAGGGATCTTCACGGTTTGTTTTCGATAGATAACAGAAATTTGTGTATTTATTTCAAGAATAGCAACACATATGAATTAATACACGTCATTTTAGAAATAATAGACAGAATTTAATGATTTATTTTAGTTATAAATACATAAGATTGCAGGGTTACTACGGTTATCGGTTTATTGCAAGTTTACAATTCATTTTTTTTGTGTCTAAAAAAACACTCTGTTTAATAAATATCCTGAATGAAATTTAATTCCAAATTCTGCAACTTAATTTAAACTTCTTCACATCAGTTAACGCTGGTGTCAAGTGCACTTAATACTGACTGCTGCATCTTTTAGCTTCAACATTCCTTTCATTTCCTTCTTCATTGCTGCGTATTGATTTATATTAGGAAAATTATTGAATAATAAAATTTTAAATGTAAAATAAAATTAATGAAATACTGTCATTTGTAATCGAAGCTTAATGTAAAGGTTAAAGTCCAATTGACTAATTTATTTTTTTGCACGACTTGTTTTTCTGACCATCGCAAAATTACGTTAAACATGAAATTTAAAATATTGTTTTTAAGTTACGTTTAACACACTTAAATGACACTACAGAACTGAGTAAATAAAACTCAGCATAGCACGTAAACAATTCCAAAATATGGGGAAGGACTGTTGGACCTTAGCTTATACAAATTCTTAGAGGGAAGGATTTGAGCCTAAAAATTTGGAGGGAAGGATTAGAGTCAACAATTTCGTACCAGTCATCGTAATCTATTTCAGGTGTTCACTTTGTTATTTTTCTTGACTTGGACTGTTTAATGCGTCAAAAATTACCTTTCACTTATGCTTGAATTGTTATGTATAGTTGTTACTTAGGAACATTTAGGTCGATGTATAATCGCCATTATCTGCTAATTTACTTTTCGTCTGACATTTTCACAGCTTAATGTTCGACTAATTGCATTCATTTTGAAACATAATCAAATGACGAATATTATTTCGGATTAAGCGAAATAAATTATACATAACTTATTACTCGTATTACTCGAGGACTCGTGAGCGTCAGCCCTGAGATCTCTAACTTCAGGTCCTGTTGAGGCTTCAGTTCAAACACTTGGCAGGTTTCAGTCAAACCACCGTTTCATTATCCAGTTTCAGCCCCGCGAAGTAAGTAGACGTAAATAAACTGTGATATTGGTATTACAAACACAGATCCCAAACCTGCTGCTCACCGCGACAGCTGAGCCGCAAGTTGCTCTCCTATAACGTATACTGTACATAGGCTTAGTGAATAGCTCTATTTGTAATAGGTAATGGATAATTAATATAATGCTGTTATCTACTAGCGTAAACTAGTGTTACCAAGTACACTGTGTATTGCTGCTACTCCTACTGCTGTTGCTCTCTAGTATGCTAGCAATTTCTGACTTCTCCTAGATCTTTGGCCCCCGAAAAATGTAGGGAATGGAAGATGTTTATAAGTTGTTCATTTATTACTATTCGTATTAGCTCGTTCATCTTCTCAGTTTATCGTCCCGTACACAAGATTCCTGACCTCGACTCGACTTGTTCGGAAAAAGGAGCAATGCTTACTTCAATGAATCATCGTTTACACATAACTCAATAAACATAAATATAATAACAATGGCGAAGAAAATTTTGCTGAAAAATTTACATGTGATGTGGTTAACAAATTACAAATCGACAGGTTATCAACGAGTAAATTAGCAAAATTTTTATTAACAAAGTAGATACTTGCCGAGGCAAATTTTTCAAGTTTTGGTGACCTTTACACTCAATGCATCGTAAATGGGCACAGTTTTCTCTACATTTTCCGGGGATCCCTTAGTAGACGATGTCATTAGCGTGGTGCTGTGCTGTGAGAATGTGTGTTTTGTGAGTGCAGTTAATAAAATAGTTCTAGAAACAATGTCTTGTGATCTAAGCTCATCAAAACTCAAGTCTTGTCTTCATGGTCATGCACGCAGTCGTGTTTTACTGAAAATATTTTACATTTGTAATGTATTTTTTTATTATTTTGAAATCATCACAAATTCTTGCTTCATATTTGTGATGGACTGATGAAATTGGAAAAAATGTGAAGGTCAATGGCCGGATTAGTTTAAAAAAATGGCTCATACTATTCGATTGGAAAAAAATTTCTGATTGAGAAGATGATTGTTTGGTAGTTGACAATAACCTGTAGCCTGTGAAATTGAAAAATTTACGGTGTAGCCGTGAAATATTATTTACCTCATCAAGCATCTCCAAGTTGAGTATTTGTTCAGACTTGACTAGGACCATTTGTTAGTAGTTTCTTAAGCAAAATTTGCAACAATTGTTGACAAAAGTCATTTTATCACTTCACTGCTTGGAATGAGGTAAGTCATCATGACGCAGGACAAGATGACTTTTAGAATAAAGAGATGCATATTTTTAATTTTTATACTCAGTTTTTTATCTTTTACTTTTTACTTTTAGTTCTAATAGTACAAATCAAATATCTTTTCACTCCGAATCCTTTTATATTTGAAATCAACGTTGAATTAAAACGGTAAACCTTATCCTTGATCAATCTTGTTTAATTTAAAACACTTGTTTATCATATCTTTGGTTATCGCCTTGAAAGTCAACTGGTGTATTTTTTACGGCACACTGCGTTTGTTTTAGCCAGCTTATCTGCCCTGTATTTGCTATGAAAGTTACTGAATATTAAACTGATATGTGGTACTCATTTCTCTATAGTCACTGTTTTTGATGCTTACCTAAATTTTCAAATTGATCAGTCAATAGCGTGATAAATTTATTTCGAAGGTCTGAGTGAGCTTTCTGTTGGTCTTATTACTAAAGACGCTTAAGTTTAAATGAGAAAGACTTAAATTGAGGTAAAGATTTCTGATAGGAAATTATCTCATGGAAACCTATCGTTTAATTTTATACAGTGTAAAAAGTTCGTACAATAAAGATATTGTCTGTTAATATTGTATTTATTCCTTCACAAAAATTAACAGTAATTAAGTAAATAAGCTTCAATTAAAGTTTTAGTGATCCAAGTTTATTTGTAGAAGAAACAAACAGAATTAAAGAGAAATCGAAACTCCGCAAGTAAGCTCGAAAAAAGACAAGAAAAACCGCTACTAATTGAAATTTTAAAAGATTAGATAAGCAGGTAAAAACTCGAATAATACCTAGCAAAAGAGCAAACTGTTTCCAGTTGATGAGGTTTTAATAAGGAGGACTTTCCACAATTTTAGATTCTCCACACACTCCAAATGATACAACTCTTGGCCATGATCGGTATCAGACAAATGGATTAATAATCGGGTGTACTACTCGTCGAAATATAGTGGGAGGACTGCGCCTCGCCAGTCTGGAATGAGGCCAAAGCTCAGCCTCGTCTGCGTGGGACTGCGCCTCGCCAGTCTGGAATGAGGCCAAAGCTCAGCCTCGTCTGCGTGGGACTGCGCCTCGCCAGTCGAGAATGAGGCCAAAGCTCAGCCTCGTCTGCGTGGGACTGCGCCTCGCCAGTCGGGAATGAGGCCAGAGTTCATTCTCGTCTGCGTGGGACTGCGCCTCGCTAGTCGGGAATGAGGCCAGAGCTCAGCCTCTTCAGCTCGAGTGCTACGCCTCAGAAAAAAGGTTAAGGTTAGCAGCTGCAGCTGCTGCGGCGCAGCACATCAAGCATCATCAATTATTCGCGAGTAAAATAGTGATGTCGTTAACAGGCACGAGAGCGCACCTAAAGAAGCGTTCTTGCCAATAAACTAAACGCCCGCCCCTCCCCTTAGCTTCTGCTCAGGAATATTCCTATAATTTTCTTGCTGTTTTTGCTTGTCTTACGAGATGAATGCCCTGCCGTCAGTGCAAGATCATGAAGATTTTGGAATAAGAAACGCGAGTAAATGTGTCCCTATTGAGCTTGACCATGTTAAAAAAAATATTGAGAATATCCATTAAAGATGTGAGGAATTTAACTGCATTATTGTATATACTTCGGTTCACTGATATTAAGTAATTATCAGGTAATTATAATTTATTCACTTGTTATTTAAAAAAATATTTCCGTGCGAAAAAGAAAATATTGAAGAAGGTTAAGTAATAGGTATAAGACGCAATTATATTAACAACTTTTTGTTCACAATTTAGTTTTGTTTCTTGTTGAACTATGTAATTGCCTTAGCTATATTGTTTTTGATCAATTGATTAATCATATTTCCCATTGTTTCTCATTACGACTGAAATTAGTTGCTGCGAAATTCCGTACAAAAAAATAACTTTTATTTTGATTTAAATAATTATAACACTTAAATTAAGCCGAAACGATCATTAAGACATTGTTGTCGACTGTGACACTAAAAGGGCGAGCGGAAAATTGATTTAGTGTCAAATATCAATAATGCAGAGTCAGTCTGTCTCCGATAATGGTACTGAATAGGGGAAGGGGAAAGCAATTTGATGTCAAATATCAGGACTGAGGTGTGGTCTGTGTCGGTTGTGGCACTAAGAGTGGAAGGGGAAATTAATTCGGTGTCAAATTTCAATATTGAAGAGCCAGTCGGTGTCGGCTGTGAAAGTGTGCAGAAGGAACCGAGAAGGCTCAAGCGAAGGCCGCTTGCTCATGCATGTCTGATAGGCCATTTGCATAGCAAAGGACTGTTCGTGCTTCTAGACACAGGATACCCAGGGCCTCACAGGTGTCTCTCTTCCTCTAAATTGGGCATTTACTTCGCTAGCTTAGCACTTAAGTACTGTAACCCTCGCCTTAAGACCATTGGTCATGATTTCATTATGCGCTCGGGATTAGATGGCCGTGCAAAACCATGCGCGAATTCCGTTCGCCTTGCACGTGATCTTGAGTTCTGCTTCCTAAAGCGGTTCTCGTGTCGAATTAATAGCATTACAGCGCCATGCTCGTTCTATTACCATTACGGCTAGTTCAGAAACTTTATTTTAGATTCTTGAAATTTAGTTTCAATTCGTATCGCCAAGTCTCTATTAAAATGTTTCTAGTTTCTAAGATATACTTTTTTTATCATATTTCACAAATAAATTGTCGCAATAATTTACTTCTTGGCAGCTAATTATTTCAGCGAGTAAAGAATTAGCAAAACCAATACATTATAAACTTTTTCCTGTTTAATTCCCTCAAAATTTCGCCGCAATCAAAAATAGAAAGTCATTGCATCGACGAATAAATTCCGGTTTATTTGCGATAATGGACGACATTAAGGGGTTTCTTGTGGAATTTTAGTTATCATTCCCATTTATAGATAAATGATTTTTTCCTTATCAATGAACAATCGTTGTCGGGATGAACTTTATTCGTGACAACATCACTTGAGTTTTTGTATTAAGTTAATCTCAAATTTTCCTTCATGGGTGCTTGATTAACGCTAGATATCGACGAAGTTTCTATTTAGTTTTCAGTGCGCAGCGCATTAATGCAGACAATCCTTGTGGAGCCGCCGTAATTAGACGATAAGCTCCCTGTTCAAACATGCCTCCTCGGGACGCCATCAAAACTTCGAACTCGTTTCAGGACAGGCCCTCCTTGATGAATATTGAGTCTTTGCTCACTTGAAGATTGTGTTCTGTTTTTATTGTCAGGCAAATACGGCAGATTCTACGTGTCCGACAGATTACTAATGCAGTTCACTAAAGTCTCAGGCACTGGCATGATTCGACAATGATTAATATTTATTTATTTAGTTGATCGAAAGTTCAAGAAATTAAACTCGTTCCATGTCAAAAAGGAAATAATCCACTTGACACGAAGCTTCGAATCTGAATTTGTAAGGTAATCATTTATGACATATTAGATCCTGTCGAATGACGTATGGGCATTTCGACTACTCAACACGCCAAGCATCCAAATCAACAAAACAAGCTAAATAACTTAACCCAAATTTCTGACAGAGAACTTAATTCCACGTCTCATATCACAAATCACTGAAATTTACACAAGACTGCCAGTCCAATCCGATGACACATTGATTCCCTCTCCTCATTCTTGTTTTCATATTTTTCTGTGAATAATACAAAAGGAATGCTTTCTAAAATTTCATCTAAATCTAATTCTCACATAAGATATTCACTCCCATTTTCTGAGCGTTTCACATACACTTGACGCACCAGCCCAGTAAACACCCGCATGGTATGACCCTCAGTCGCCCTATCTTCTCACTCACGCTCCCATGATTACAATCTTAAAGCAATTTACGGACGAGACTTATACTATAAAATATTTTCCTTCTTTTCCATGGATC